TGTAAGCGGAAATCTAGCGAGGCCCGGCTTCGGGGAAATCGTCGAGGAGCTCGCCCCGCAACGGGTTGCAACGCGGTGCAACACGGTGCAAGGTCGCAGCCGCGCCGAGCGTTCCGCCGATCGCGATATTTGCATTCGGCGGGCACGGAATTTGCATGATCCCTCTATGCGATAGAATAGGGAGTCGATATTGATAAACGCGGGACGCGGCAAGAATTTATGCCCGCCTTAGAAACAATTTCGCGAACGCGACTGTTACGCGGTTCGACGTTATGGTCGCGATTTTTATTCGGATTCTTATTAAAACGCAACTTTACTAGCGACGTAGGCGGCACGCGCGGAATAGAGATCAGCCGAATGAACGGCACGCGGGTGCACGGGGCCGGGAAACGAAAGGAAAACATCGGACGAACATCGGGTAAACAATTCTTACGGAAATATTAATCACGAGCTAATGGGAGCGTTACCGGGGAACGGCAAATTGATTTGCTAAATTGAAAGTTCGTCGAAACGGAAGTACCGTTATTACTTATTAGTCGTATAACATACCGTTATACCTGACGGTACCGTTGGTTACCCTTGCCCCACCACTTTTAACGCTCGGTAAGTCGTCGCAGGTATGACTTCGGCAGGTATAAAAAGGCCGCTGATGACCGGAAAAGTTCATTGAATTGTCAGTTCGCTGTTTGTACGTTTCGGGCAAGTTTCAAGTGTTGTTTTAGAGCAGAGTGATTTTAAAACCGTGTGCTGGATTACGAGCAGTTCGATATATTCGATAAATTCTTTTGTAGCGTTTGTAACAATACCAAGAGCTGAAGCGCGAGAAGCGAACGACGAAGCGAGAGGATCAGTCATTGAAAAGGAATTGGTTGAGCGAGGACGGGAATTCGACGAACGAGAACACCGAGGAAGTGCCAAATTCTAGAAGACAGCCCCGCAAGAATGTCGACGACACCTTGCAAAACAACACCCGATTCGCAGGCGACGCATTCGGGGTCGCCGGACTTGCAGATCATAATCCACGAGTTCGAAAAGGACTTTCACTCGCCGTCGGAGCACGGCGAAGCGCGGGCCGGTGATAAGTCGAAGCCGAAGAACTTCGTGAGGAAGATCGTGGCATCGATCGAGGTGAATTACCAGATGTACAACTATCAGAACGGAGCGCTAGATGAAATTGATGGCGAGGAAGCTAGCGGGACGGAATGTCCGAAGTTGCAACGAAAGGCGAAATCTTTCGGCAGCTGCTCCGAAATCTCTAGGAACGTGAACAACAGCCCCACGAAGAAGGATAACGAATCGCGTAGACGATCAGGCACCTTCTCCGCGCCCTCGTGCTCCAGCGCGGAGGACTCTAAGAATAACAGACGTTCCGCATTCATTGCCTCGCTTTTTAGAGTCTCAGACGACAAAAAACGTGATTGTGGAAACACATCAAAACAGATAGGAGAGGGTTCCACGACCTTGACTCCCGCGGAGAAGACCGAGGTGATAGAGAGGAAGGCCTGCAGCTCAGGGGTCGCCTCATCGCTCTCGCCTTCCAGCACCAACTATGAGGACTCGAGGGCTTACAGACGGTCCCGACTCACCGATTTCATGTCCTCGTGCGATGGATTATGTAGTAGCGAAAACGCGGCGCAGCAGATGGTAGTGGAATCCGCGACCTTGACTGTCTCGGAGGAGAAAACCGAGAAGGAAGAGATTACAGCGAACAGCGTTACAGCGCCGGATCCCAAGAAGACAGTCGCGGTGGAAGGTCATGCTCCTCTTAAAACCAGCACGATGATCGAGGAGCACTTTCGGGCGGTGTGGGAAAAAGTCCTTCGCGATCCTCCGCGAGTTAGGGTTGACGATAGAACGCCGGAGATCGTCGGCGCGTTCCTGAAGAAGCCGATCGAAGTCGAGAATACTTCGGTCGAATGGATACCGATTACCAGCAGGAAGCTGCCGCGCAAGCAGTCGCTGAAGAAGCTGCTGACCTCCTGGGTCAGCAAGCAACCCTTCTATAAGAACAACTCGATCAACAACTTGCTCAAGGGGACCGACTTGTTCAAGGAAACCGACTTGATCAAGGAGAAGAACTTGATCAAGGCGAAGAACTTGATCAAGGAGAACAACTTCATCAAGAACAACTTGATCAAGGAGAAGAACTCGATCAAGGAGACCAACTTAAACAAGGAAACCACCGTGATCATTGAGACCACCCGGGAGCTGCAGGACTCCGGCTACGAAGAAAAGTCCGCCTCCTCGTCATCGTTGTCCTCGGTCATGTCCGCCAAGGGGGCTTTGGAGCAACCGAAGGACGACTTCATCGAGATGGACAGGAAGGCCACGTTGAGTACTTTCCGCGCCGAGAATCACCTCACCAGTGTGTTGAACGAGACTTTCAACGATGATTGCCAAGAAGATGCCACTCCTGAAAGTTTTTAAGCGACAACAATGTCCCGGGACGAACGACAAAACATTGCTGTTCGACGAAACCGATTTTTAATGGTTTTTATTTAGCTAACGGACGCGATTTCCGGTTTAACGTTTTGTTTTTAGGACGTATCGTATTTTTTATATTTCATTAAGTTAGACTAAATCGTAGGATAGATTTTTGCTTTTTATCGAACTTGCTCCGCGGTCACCGTTGCTCTGCCAAGGAGACGCGGTTTTCCCGTGGATAGAGGCTTCAGATGAGACTAATGAGGACGAGACGACGCGTGCCGCGGCGTTTTCACCTGGGAAACATTCTCCCGAAAGACCTGTTCGTAGCGGCACCGTTCGGTCCTCGGAACCGTACAGCCAGAGAAAAGGGGAGTACGTGTTCCTAGTCGTTTTCCATGGCAAAACGATTGTCGGAGCAGACGCGCTACCGGTGAATAATACGCGGAAACAGGTGAATATATTTGTACATTCATCTGTAAGGACATGTTTACAGAGAACTTGAACGTTTTTATTATAGTCAGGGTTTCATTGTAGTTTTATTTTATTATATAATTATAATTTAATATTTAGTCATGTTTCGTTATAATCAAGGTTTTATTATAGTTTTATTTTATTATATAATTATAATTTAATATTTAGACAGTATTTTTATTATAGTCTGTGTGTTTATCATAGATAGTGTTTTTATTATAACCAGTGTTTCTATTATAATCGGTGTTTCTATTATAATCTGTATTTTTATTATAATCAGTATTTTTATTATAATCCGTGTTCTATTATAGTTAGTTTTATTATAGTCAGGGTTTTATCACAGTCCAGGGTACTATACATATGTATTATAAATAGATATATATGTATACGTCGCCGGACGTAAGCGAGAGACCACAGACGAGACAAATTTGTAAAAATTTATTTTTCTAACGTTTTCATGTGCACTACATTTATGTATAAATGCTGTGCTATGTATATATTTTTGAATAATAAACATTGTGTGCCATTGCAAATTTTCCGTGTTCACAATCGATGCGCTCGACGTTCCCCGCATTTCCTTCCGATTCGCGGTATCTCGCGAGTTAAATTGCGCGCCGGCATGTAACTGGAGCAAGTTAAAAAACAGGAGGCGAAGCGCGCGGTTAATCTTGACTAGGATTTTCGAAATTTTCGCCGAGCATCGATCAGAAAACCGTTATTTCAGCCCCATTGGGGGGGGGGCAAAATATCAAAAAATGGCCCGCGCGATTTCCATTCCGGCGAATGGAATCCGGAATACGGGAACCGATATCGGTCGGGAAAGAATGATTTTTTCCCAATTAATTTGGCCGACGGAGGTTGTTCCGCTGCAACAGATTGCCGTGGTCGCGAAGATGGCGGTCGGAATTACCATAAAGCGAAGGCAGGGAATATCGCAAATCCTTGGAGCTGCGGCGAGGATCGTGAGAAAGCTGCGGTAGCGTCGAGGTCGATTGAATCGTTGGCTGTTCGATCAGCTGCCCTGCCGCTTCCACTGCAAATTTCCCGGTTCTGTGAAAACGATGAGAGAAATAGAGAGAGAGAGAGAGAGGGGGGGGGAGAGATCCGGGTTCGCGTGGTCGGCAACGAGAAACCTGCGGTCAACGATCGTCCTTATCCCCGTTAGGCTCGCGGCTCGCTAACGGCGAAGAAGATCCCCATGACGCGTGATCGAAAGTAAACGCGCTCGGGTGTCCGCGGGGACGTCACACGGAAATCTTTGCGCTGGTTCTCGCACGTACGCTATCATGGTCGGTGACGCAGGAGCCCGCGCGACCATGGTCGTGACGTGGGTGCGGAGCGTAGGTCGTAACTGCGGCCATTAGCGCCTTGGGCGTCAAAAGTTATTCCTTGTCAAATGTGAAGAAGTTTTACACTTTTTCTATTTCATTGAATTTCATTAAATTTTATTAAACATTATATTTTTCATATATAGGATACCATAATCTTAATTGAAGCTACTGCTTCTTAAGGAGAAATATTGCCTCCTAATGTAAATAAAAAAAGCGAAGGAAAAAATTAATGTTACGTCAGTACATTGCGAGGTGAAGAAGCATATTTTTTGGCGTCGAAATGTTCAACATTGAATTGTCGTATCTGCTACAATTTATGATCAGTTTTATTAATATGTTCATTTTCGAGGATAATGAACATTTAACAAGCAATAAAAATTGACATCAATATGAGAAAATTAGTTTTTCGTCAAAAAGTCGCTAAAATCTTCGATCCGGCCCACTGCGCGTCGCGTCGCGTCGGATGCACGTCCAGCGCACCGGAATCCGCAGCTGCACCTATCCAGATACATGGGTCGCTCTCCCGGCTCGCATTCGTGGGTGTCGTGTCAAGGCCGAGGCATCGCGGACCGCCGAGGCCATCCCCGCCGCATATATCCTTTTTAAGGAAGCCGTCTAAGCGCCGCGCCGTTACACGCGTACGCGCCGTTACAACCCCATCGTCTCGAGATCGAGCCAACTCAAAGATGCATTGCTCGTTAAAATCCTCTGTCTCCTCTCCCCTCCTATCCATGTCGCTGCACTGCACTGCTCTGCCCTCGCATTCCTTATTTACCTTCTAGCGAACCCGTACGTGCCTGCACGGAAAGGATCAGCGTGACCAACCTTTTACACATCCGTCACTTCGGACACGGTTAATTAAAACTTCGCGCGATAGTTCCGGTTTAATGATGGACGGCAGACTGCGGATAAAGATCCGCAAAATAAAACGAAGAATCCACCGCGTCAATTGCGGACGCAGAAGATGATCGTGTGCGGTCATGCTTCTCTCGTAAGTAATTTGAATAACTTATAATTAACGTAGCAGCAGTTTTAGTTTCTTTTCATTTTCTCACTGTTCTATGTTTCATTTTAATACTTTTCTTCATAAGTGTACGAAATTCGCAGCAATTATGTTACTTTCGAGAAATGAGGGGTTCCTGAGGTCATTTGAAGCAACTTTTTCCTTTACACAAATTTTCTACGTAGCATCGTTAACGAGTTATCAACGGAAATCAGCGACCGATGAGAGGCGAGCTCGGCTGGCGCGTGGCGGTCGAGCCAATGAGCAGAACCGCGCTTCGACCGCTCGTTGGCTTGACCGACTTCGCGCCAGAGGCGATCTCGTCTCTCATTGGTCACTGTTTATCGTTAATAATTCGTAAACGAAGCCTCGTAGAAAATTTTTGTAAAGGAAAAAGTTGCTTCAAATGACCTCAGGAACCCCTCATTTCCCGGAAGTAAAATAATTTTGGGACACCCTGTATTTGACGCCGAATGCATAGGATAAAGGTGGCTAATATGAGACCCATACTTTGTTTGAAAACATAACGTTTGAAAACTGAAATATGTATTTTTTAGAATTCACTCAAAAATACAAAACAAAAAATCCCGCCTCGTAATCGAGGGAAAGCTAAAAACATGCAAATGAGAATTGCGAACGAGAAATATCGACTATTTGTTTACAACTGTTTCCAGTTGTTTCAACAATCGATAAATCGTCTACCATCTGATAAACACGGACAAAAAAAGTAACTTTTGTTCGAAGATCTTTTTCCATCTAGCACAGTTTGCGAATTACAGCAATAAAGTAAAAAATAGCCGAACATTTGGGGGTTAATTTCCACCCCTCGAAATAAATTCGTGCAAGAAGGGAAAATTGCGCAATATGTATATACATATACCCTGGATCTCCTCAAAGTTTCAGAATTTTTTTTTATTTCTGAATTGGGTATCATCCCTTGGAAGTATTCTCGACGCGTTGCGTCGAATCAAGATCGTTGCCCCGGACTGCAGAACGACCAGGCCAAGAAGAATCGTAAAGAAAGCTTTTCTGAATAGTTTTCAGTGGTGGACGAAGGATTTTTCGGGAGGTCAACGTGCTCCAGACAGTTCAACGGCAACGACTCCCCCAGGAGGGGGTGCCGGAAACTCCCGGGCATACGCCGCTGACACCGCATTACATAGTTTTCGCGTTACGACTGTGGCCCTGCTGCCACGTGTACGCAGATTTACGAGCTCGCGGGACACTCGCATATTCGTGTTCCAATATTACGTCGCTGCGAGAGGGATGCTGCGACGCTCGCACGGGAACGCGCGAAACCGCGGAGGTCGTTCCAGCCCGATGCGAATTTTTATTGCGTGCCGGCAATGGAAATCCTGGCCGCCGACCCAGAGAAACCGGCGCGGAGTTGCGCTAATTAATTCTTCGAAGAAAAATAAAGAGTCGGGGCGAGCCCGGGAAAGAAAAGTTGGTTGCCGGGGAAAACGCTGTCTCCTTTACGGCGCGCTTTCCTCGCGGAAGTTCCAACGTTTCCCGAAGTAGATTCGAGAAATATCCAGTTTGTCTTTTCGAACGAATTAATCCTCCCTGCGTGGGAGGCTAACTTTTTAATTCAACCCCGGCGACGCAACGCGCGCGCGCGCGCGCGCGACCGCCGCGGGATCCCGGACGGCGGCGACTGAATTTAAATCAATTTCAATGAGCCCGAGTACCACTAGCTCCCGTGTTTAATGCTCCGCGTCGCGGAAACTTTATTCTTAAACGCTCGATCTAATCTTCGTCGCAATGCTACCCGCCGAGCTAATAATTCACAGGACTTTATCTTGCTACAGCACTCCGCGACCTTCGCAGTTACTTTCCAAGAGAGTCCCCCGGTTTTTCCATCTATATTGCAACGTACTCTCCGCCGCGCTGGCCGACTCGATAAAATTCCCATTAGACTTCTCTCGTATATGTGTCCCTTTTAACTCGGCAACCTGTAGATCACCGAAACTGTTCGCTCGATTCCAGACGCGCCGTGGCCTATCAAATCGTCCGCGAACATTCCCGCTTTCTATCGCAGCTACGACCATCGATGTAATTCAACGGTGAGCCACCGTTCATTTTTACGAGAGACACTTTCGTAGGAAACGATCGGGTTACTTAACCCTTTGTACTCGAATGGTGACTCTGAGGCGCCTCTAATCGTTGTTGTATCACGATCCAAAATAAATTATAGATCGCCGTATTTATTTTTATCTGGAGAAACTTTTAAAAGTGTGACTGTTGTACGAGTTACAAGACTCAATTTCATATCCACAAAATGCAACAAGTCGTATAAAATGTAAATACTGTGGATCAGAGAGACTGTTCTGGATTTAGAGTTAAAATGGCTTCGTGCGCGAAGGGTTAATTCGAGCTTAATAATAATAATGGTAATAAAAATGAAATAAGAAAGATGATAAAAATGGTAAAGAGTTTAAATAAATTGAGTCTTGTCAGTCTTATGAAGCAACGCGCGTTAGTCGATTTTCGAGCACGATAGGTTCAGTGTTCAATTCGTACCTTTGTCGAGACTAATGGATTTTATTAGACGTATTTAAATAAGTAGACTGCAGATTTTATGCACTTATGACAAAATTGCAATTTAAAATAGAGGAAGAATTAAAATGAATTTAAAAATGTCAATGTCATCATTTTCATCTATTAAAGTGATGAAATTGCTATTTATTTTGCATAAAAATCCGCAGTCTAATAATAAGCAACAGTATTTAAGGGTGTCAATACGTTCATTTTGTTTATATGCAAGGCCTCGGTGTTACGTACCGTCAAATTATTTTAAATATTGTAACAATCGACTCATGGTAATTTTGCCTTCTCAATCTAATCCGAAGGTCATCACGTAGCAAGTCGTTGAATTCGTCTCGTTGTCGCCTACAATACTATGAAGTTAAAATAACCTAGTTTCACTTAAAAATATAACGATGACCTTGTCTTTTTATCGAAAATCAACTTGTTTTTCAATTTAAACAATTCCAATTTCTTGTTATTGGTTAAACGCTAATTAACTGTGATAGGAAAGAAAGGAGCTGAAAAATTGTAGGGATTAATTCGTGACTCGCTCAGTATATCCTATAATTGACTTTTTAACTCATTAATCGTTTTCATTTAGACATGTCTGAAATCACCTAACGTTTTCATAGTATTTCCGTAATTCCTTTCATGTATTAGCCCTCGGACTGCGGTTACGGGATCAGTTTCGCCCGATGTATATAGATCGTCTATTAATTAGTCAATTTTCGACAATCAAATCGAATGAATCAAAACAACAGAAACGCTGATGAGTCTACATGAAGTCATGACGTCATGTGATACATGGTCAATTGTACGTATAATTCTGAAAATGCTCAGCCGTCCATTGGTTAATGAGTTGCCACCCGTATAAATAAAATAAATAGATAAAAATAAATAAGGCAATATTAACAATAGTAATAATAAAATGTTGCAACCTCCACGTTTCCTTCGAACAAGTTTACCACGCGTAATCGTAGAGGCGAGAGCCTGATCGCGGATCGAGCATAAGTTTATAATAATAGATAAAAATGATCAAAGCAATATTAACAATAGTAATAGTAAAATATTGCAACCTCCACGTTTCCTTCGAACAAGTTTACCACGCGTAATCGTAGACGCGAGAGCCTGATCGCGGATCGAGCATAAATTTATAATAATAGATAAAAATGAACAAAGCAATATTAACAATAGTAATAGTAAAATATTGCAAACTCCACGTTTCCTTCGAACAAGTTTGCCACGCGTAATCGTAGAGGCGAGAGCCTGATCACGGATCGAGCATAAATTTAATCTCGCGAAACGAGAGACGCGGAAACAATGCAACGAATCGCGGGAACTTCGAGCGATTGCCGCGCTGCGTTTAAACCGCACCGGCATTGTCCCAGGTGAAAGGTCGCGAAGTTGCCTTCAGCGTAACGAAGGATCTTTCAGAGCACCGAATAATTCTCCAAGGGGGCCCGTGCATCGCTCGTGCCGCAGTTCGGAACTGAACGAACTCCGTTGCATCCGTCGAGTTCCACGTGTTCTCCACGGTTCTCACGGCGAAGGCAGAGAAACAAGAGGCAAACTGCGTGTTCCTTAAACATAATGGATTAAAAGCAAGCTACGATTCGCGCGATAACTATTCAAATGTGCAGCCAAGTGGTGCGCGTACGCGTCGCACGCGATCTCCCGGCGTGTAATTAAAATGAATCCGTTTCTCGCGATCGATCGGACGAATATGCAGCAGGCTCGCGTGCCTCCGCCGTCTGCCGGCGGGGATCAAAGGGTCGGGGATAGAGAGAGAGAGAGAGAGAGAGAGAGAGAGAGAGAAAAAGGCGGCGCGATTTAATATAATCGAGAGCGAGCCGGCCGATAGAGGCAAAAGAGCCAGCGGAAGCTAAAATTCGTGTGCCGTGCTCGTGGCCGCGTATCTCCGTGAAAAGGAAAGCTCCAGGAACAAGGGATGCCGCAATTTTCCAGGCTGATGGCCCAGAAAATTGCTGCACGACGTCACGGTTCACGTTTGTCCGGTGTCAATGATTTTGTCACGGCTCTCGCCCGCTGAAAAACACCAACGCCGACGTTCCGTGCAATTGGTCGGACGTTTCGTCTCGAAATTCCGGCGATGCTCGCCGGAAGAAGAGCTTCGCCTTGCTTCGTGACGAAGAGCGTGCCGCCTGTGAAGCCACTTCAAGTAGTACGTTTAATGGCCGACGCGAGTGCTGCAACGTTTCTTTGCGTGTGAGAACAAAGGGAATTTCGCCGGCCGACTCTTCCCTTTCGGGAAGTAATTAGCAGACTCTCCGCGTCCGAGAAGGAATTTCCACTCGGAACAGATTGCTTCTGAAGCCGCGACGCCGGCCAAGAAGGCTCGGGTCGATCAAATTTCTGGCCGCGCATAATCGCGATTATTTTTCTTCGCCGAGACTTACAAAGCATCGCAGCGTTTCGCCGTAGTTCGCCGGAAAATTAATTTCGCGATTATCCCGTCCACTCGGATGATCCGACCGTGACGGGGAAAGCTCTCGAAGCGGGCCAGCTTTGCTTCGGGTACACTGCCGCTAAAAATTTTACACTTCCGGATGGAATCCTTGTATCCTGCCTTTCGCGAGTCATGAAGATCCTTCGCGGTCACGCGATCTCGTCGACGACTCTCTACTGGGTTTCGAAGGATTCGCGATTTCGCGAGATATTGACGTCTTGGACCGGAATGTGCCTAACTGCGGCCGACGCACAGTGGTCGGTTCCCGTAGAAAAAGCGAAAAAAGGCATATAACAACTGAAATTATACAGAGTATCCCAAAAATGTCTCGCAATCCGAAAGTGACGGGTTCCTCGGGTCATTTGAAGCAACTTTTTCCTTTACAAAAATTTTCTCCGAGGCACCATTAACGACTTATTAACGAAAAACAGTGACCAATGAGAGGCGAGCTCGGCTGGCGCGAGACGACCGAGCCAATGAGCGGAACTGGGCTTTGTGCGCTGGTTGGCTGGGCCGCCTCGCGTCAGCCGTACTCGATTCTAATTGACCACTGTTTTTCGTTAATAACTCGTTAACGGTGCCTCGGAGGACATTTTTGTAAGGGAAGAAGCTGCTTCAAATGATCCGAGGAACCCGCCATTTCCGGATTGCGAGACATTTTTGGGACACCCTGTATATTAATTATCATTATACGGTTCATTTCTGACAAAACCCGTCAATAATAAATATCTCAATTTAAGTATAAATGGACTAAAGCCTCTCTTTCAAAATAAACGGCTCAATTATTGAACTAACTCTAAAAACTTATGTGTCCAAAATGATCGTATTTACTCGAAATATAAGTAACCTCAACTGCTTTATTGATAGATAACTTTAAGTTGTACATGCAACCACGGGCAACCGGAAATAATTGACCAATGGACTTAGACCACTTTCAAAAATAAACGGCTCATTTAAGCCTTACTTTTTCATTTTATATTAATGGTACATGTATTTGAGCTTTTGTCGGAATAGAATAATGAAAACAGTGTTTCAGTTATTTATGGACAAATTTTTAAAAAATACAATTTCCGTTTTCAATTCAATTCAATTCAATCGACCGACCACTGTGCGATGGTCATGATTGAAATATTTGGACGGCGGACATTTTTCAGTATTTATGGCAGTCACGGCTAGATCCGTTCGGATCATTACAACCAATTGTCACTCGTGTAGATCACTCGTCGATCTCCGTTGAGATCTAGGTTAATCCTTTCGTTAGTTTCAGTATTAACATTGAATAATTACATATGACTGCCGCAAAATTAAAATTTCGATGGAATATTTGTAACTCTGGGTCCAAAACGGGCCCGGCGCACGCCATCCGAGGATTAAAAGGCGCTTGTCTCAATTTCCAGCGCCACGCGAAGCAATTCCGAGGTTTCCGTCGCGTGTGGAGCGCGAGTTTTTATCGAGTTCGAGCCTACGCCGCGAAAAAACCAATTTCTCCGGCGGGTAATTCCGCGGAGGCAGCTTTTTTGCCGGGCAACAGATGCAATTCCTATGGAAATGCAGTCGAAAAAAAAACGGCGCGGATCCGGTGACACGGGAAAAGTTCGGCCGTACTACTTACCGGGGGTAAAACGTTTTCGCGGACGGGGATGGGTTCGCTGGAGCGGCGATCGCTTGCCTCGAATATCTTCGACGTATAAAATTCACCCCGGCGTTCGATCGAGAAGCGAGTCGATTCCCTCGATCGACTGGCACGCCAGTCGTCAAAGTTCCCGCGGACTCCTAAGCCGGGAACTGCAGCAGGATGATCAGGTAAGTCGACATCACCGCGATGATCTGCAAAACGTCGGTATCTGTGATCCGGTTAATCGAAGAAGAACTTCGCGATCCGCGACAGAAGCGTCAATAATTCGTAAATGAGTTTCTCATGACCGGACTGCGGATTTTATGCATTTCTAGCAAAAATAAGTAGATCGAAACGCTGTTCTAATTCGATACTGAGACATTTGAAACAAGAAACGTGACTTGGATTTTCATAGGAAGTAGTATTATCTGGATAATGCAACACTGATAATAATATAATAATAATAATATGATAATATAATATAATAATATAATAATATGATAATAATAATATGATAATATAATAATATGATAATAATAATATGATAATATAATAATATGATAATAATAATATGATAATATTGAGATATTATAATATCTATATTTGCATAGATTTTTTTTCATTATATTTATTTTATCTTATTTTATTTTATTTCAATTTCAATTTCAATTTTGTTCTGTTTTGTTTTGCTTTATTTTGTTTTATTTTACTTCATGTTTTTTAAATATACGTTAGTACGAAAGTTAGTGAAAAATAATATTTCATTATTTTCGGAAACCAAATCATTATTTAGATATATCTTAGTATTGGTTAGTATTAATATTGCAATTCAAGACAATGAAAACATTTCAAGAATGAAAAAAATGCTATTGTATTGATCTCAGCTAATTGAAATAATTGACGGAAGAAATAAATGTCTAGGTAGTCCCCTGTATCTTACAATAAGTGCAGATCATTTCTATTTTGCATAAAAATCCACAGTCCACCCATAACTGTTTCCAGAACCAAAATCGATATGATAACAGTTATCAATCCCTGCTCGTTTAACCCCTTGCACTACGATTTTTTCCACAGCTACGTTAATTAATACTTGGTTATGTCTTAGAAATTCCTACACGAGACACAGATCATTCATATTTGAGCCGCTTATTTTGAAAATGGCATAAGTCACTTTTTTCTTTCTTTTTTTAAATGAAAAGATTCCGTTCAATTGTAATTAGTGTTACCATTAACTCGATTTTTTTGAAAAAGTGACTTATGCCACTTGCAAAATAAACGGCTCATTTATTGATCGCCAACCTCTAGTTCAATCCAATAATTTCGTCGCGAAAGAAAAATAAATGATTTATTAATGAAACAATGAAAGTTCGAAAATTCTATCTAATTCGTGTATTCTATCAAATTCCATTCAACATAAAAGACGCTACGAAAAATATATATCTTCGAAATGTTATCCGAAAAATTACTAGTTGAACTAAATAATTAGTAAAATTACTATTCTCCCTAATTGATTCTCAGCTTGTACACAAAAACGGACAATCTGAGCGTCAATTAGGGAGAATTTATTGTACTCGTTTTCCAGCTAAACGCGCTATCTTAAAAGACGCGAACAACAACAACTTTAGTAGATCACGTTCGAAATCATCGTAACGTGTCCGACACGATATTATAGGGCAATGGGTCAACCGGGTTGGCCTTGTCGGACGTTTCGATTCGAGCTCTAAATCTCTCGATATTTCGACGATATTTAGACATCTTGTGACGTCATGCTCGTGAGATTGACACTTCGCTGGCCGAATATTGCAAATATCTCTGCAATAACTGCAAAACGGATATTTCTATAACCGACGCCCCCGAAGTTTAGTCTTTTGGAAATCTAAATTTTCCACTTGTGAACTGCACACTTCGATATTAAAGCGTCAGTTTTAGAGGATGTAAACCTCTGCGAACTAATATACGTATATGGTTTTCTTCTATGCGTGGATCGTCATAGTGTGCGGCGACCCCGCGACCTTAACCCTTAAATGCATGATTTTTTGTTTTGAATTTTAAAAAATCGTTTTTTATAGGAATGTAGTCATAGGTTACGTGAAAAATAAATGAAAAAACCTAGGTAATAATATTGAGTATTTATTTTGAAAAAAAGTTGTATGTAGACCTTTGGCAACAATATGCGTTAATTACTAAAATTATTGTAGGACGTAAACAAATGGTCATGTATTTATATTATCTATTAGTATAGGAATTTTCATATTTATAAATTTATTTATAAATATGAAAATTCCTATTTTTTATTTTAATTTAATTATATTTTAATTCTCATATTTATAAATTTATTTATAAATATGAAAATTCCTATTTTTATTTATAAATGAAATGCAGCAAAGCAGTCGTGATTTTTCTTGTGACGCAAAGCAATCAGATAAATCACTCCTTTATAGGAAACTCGAAAAAAGAAAATATCTCTCCGAGTAACGCATTGAAGGTTATCACCCACCACATTCAAATGTCTCTCAAAAAAACATATAACTTACTCACCAAAAGTAATATCAAGTCTTTGATTTCACACATGGTCTATTATTGTCTATTGCTATCAACNTGGTCATGTATTTATATTATCTATTAGTATAGGAATTTTCATATTTATAAATTTATTTATAAATATGAAAATTCCTATTTTTTATTTTAATTTAATTATATTTTAATTCTCATATTTATAAATTTATTTATAAATATGAAAATTCCTATTTTTATTTATAAATGAAATGCAGCAAAGCAGTCGTGATTTTTCTTGTGACGCAAAGCAATCAGATAAATCACTCCTTTATAGGAAACTCGAAAAAAGAAAATATCTCTCCGAGTAACGCATTGAAGGTTATCACCCACCACATTCAAATGTCTCTCAAAAAAACATATAACTTACTCACCAAAAGTAATATCAAGTCTTTGATTTCACACATGGTCTATTATTGTCTATTGCTATCAACGTGTGTTCGGAAACGCGCATACTCAGGTTTTTGAATCAAATTAAGTGGAACTGGAATGTAGACAATTGACAACAATATGCATTTAAGGGTTAAGCGTCCGATGTCGAGGAAAAACGAAGAAAACGGCGTCGGGTGAGAATCCCTGCTCGGAAGTGTCTGAGACGATCAGAGCGTTTGCCTTTGACCGCCACCCCCTCGAACAACAGACTGCGACGGGTCGTTTTGTATCGATCGGACGGGAACCGCGGTATTAATCGAATCGCGAAGTGAAACGTCCCCGGGATTGCCGGTGGTATTCAAAGCTCGCGGTTATTGCGTGCCATCTTCGAGGGTGAACGGTGGCCGTCGTATATCCGGTGCAAAATTGGACGGGCTCGAGTGTCGGAGACCATTAGGGGTTGGTTCGCGCCAGTTTCGTCGAAGCGAGGCCATCGAGAACCGAATTATAGACTCGGTCGCGCGATTATTGATGGAGCTCGCAAGGGTCCGGGGCGCAAGGATATTAAACGGCGCCCGCGGTTCCGCCGAGACACCCTGTTGTCCCGAAGTTGTCCGAAACTTCGGCGATGGGGCGAAAGAAGAGATTGAAAGGTTCCATCGCGGAGACCCCGTTTACCGAGCGCAGTAGCAGCAGATTCACGTCGAAGAGGCCGCCCGCGGAGAACTGAAGGCGTCTGATCAGGAAGCGCAGCGAAGTGCGCACCGTGTCCTGGAATTAATGAGTTACAGATAGCTGGTATAAAAATGCGAGCGTAAGGGAAATTAGGCGCACAACTACTAAATTAGTAGTTAATGAGTTACAGGTAGCTGGTATAAATATGCTGCGAGCGAAGGGAAATTAGGCGGACAACTGCTAAATTAGTAATTAATGAGTTACAGATAGCTGGTATAAATATGCTGCGAGCATAAGGGAAATTAGGCGGACAACTGCTAAATTAGTAATTAATGAGTTACAGATAGCTGGTATAAATATGCTGCGAGCATAAGGGAAATTAGGCGGACGACTACTAAATTAGTAATTAATGAGTTACAGATAGCTGGTATAAAAATGCTGCGAGTATAAGGGAAATTAGGCGGACGACTACTAAATTAATAATTAATGAGTTACAGATAGCTGGTATAAAAATGCTGCGAGCGTAAGGGAAATTAGGCGGACAACTAATAAATTAGTAATTAATGAGTTACAGATAGCTGGTATAAATATGCTGCGAGCGTAAGGGAAGTTAGGCGGACAACTGCTAAATTAGTAATTAATGAGTTACAGATAGCTGATATAAAAATGCTGCGAGTATAAGGGAAATTAGGCGGACGACTACTAAATTAATAATTAATGAGTTACAGATAGCTGGTATAAAAATGCTGCGAGCGTAAGGGAAATTAGGCGGACAACTAATAAATTAGTAATTAATGAGTTACAGATAGCTGATATAAAAATGCTGCGAGTATAAGGGAAATTAGGCGGACAACTGCTAAATTAGTAATTAATGAGTTACAGATAGCTGATATAAAAATGCTGCGAGTATAAGGGAAATTAGGCGGACAACTGCTAAATTAGTAATTAATGAGTTACAGATAGCTGATATAAAAATGCTGCGAGTATAAGGGAAATTAGGCGGACAACTGCTAAATTAGTAATTAATGAGTTACAGATAGCTGATATAAAAATGCTGCGAGTATAAGGGAAATTAGGCGGACAACTGCTAAATTAGTAATTAATGAGTTACAGATAGCTGATATAAAAATGCTGCGAGTATAAGGGAAATTAGGCGGACAACTGCTAAATTAGTAATTAATGAGTTACAGATAGCTGATATAAAAATGCTGCGAGTATAAGGGAAATTAGGCGGACAACTGCTAAATTAGTAATTAATGAGTTACAGATAGCTGGTATAAAAATGCTACGAGCGTAAGGGAACTTAGTCGGACAACTACAGTGGCTCATAGAAGTGTTATAAATAACCTTTTAAAATGGTTAAAACTTTTTCGAAACTGGACTAAGCTACGAATTATTTTTAAACGATAGAGGAACATACTAGCCAATAACCAAAATGTTTTCTTCAAATTTTGCTATTATTTGGAATGGCAAAAGGAAAATAATAACTTTCGTTTTTAAACTTTTTTATCTGAGACTACAACGAACATTTAAAATTTAATCGAGAGTCGAGCTACAGGCGTTGAAAGATATAAAAAAAAAAAGAATTGAAGACTTCTTACAGTTTTTGGGCAAAATCGTGACGAAACTGCGATCTTTGCTATCTTTAATTTGCCATCTTAAATCTAAAGCACGCTTATATGTTATCGAGATCTACGAAAGACATTTTTTAAATTTTCGTTATAGACTCAGAGATAAAAAAGTTAAAAGACGGGAGTTTTCGTTTTTCTTTCTTTTTCTTTGTCACCCCAAATAATAGGAAGATAATAAGAAGAAAAAAGGTCATTGTTTATTTGTTTAGTCATTGTTTAGTGCACTAGACCTTTTATCTATGAAAAATTATGAAAAATTATATATGAAAAATTCAGTCACTTAGTCTAGTCTTAAAAAAATTATTGCGTTTTAAAAGATACACGAACACTTTTGTGAGCCGCTATATGTTACTTAAGAAATGAGCGATGTTATTGTTACTGTATTGTTATTGTTACTGCGATGTTACTGTATTGTTATTGTTACTGAAAATTAAATAGAACAACGATCTTGACGATAGTTCCTCGGAACCGAACTAGATTCCGAGGAACTATCCGCATTAGTTGCAGAAAATAGAAACTAAATAAAAAGTTCGTTCTCTTCTCCATCAGTTTAATTAATCAAGAATAAAGCATTTTAAATTCTTTTAACCTTTTTGCTAGTTTAAATTGTAACCAGCCAATTTTGCCATAAATGCATCAAATCCGCAGTCTAATAATTGTTAAATAAGTAAATGAGTCAACAACTACTTCACATTGTATGTTATTTCATCCTCGTTCATTATGTATATTTTTACAATTAAGAATAAAAACAACGACAAGAAGTCCAGTTTTCTTAAAGGTGTGATATTACGACGAGAGTACCCTTGCTCATTAGTATTGCCATTATCAATTCATTAAATACGCGATCTTAACTCTTTCGTTACTTTTACAGTTATAGTTTCCAGAACTATAAACATCATGCGTTCCTTTTACCAAACAAACAATTTTAACCGTTTGCACTCGAATGGCGACTTTGCCGAGGCGGCGCTAAAAATTGCTATACCATTTTTCAAAATAATTGTAACAGTATCAGACTTGTTTATATTTAAAAGATTGTTAAAATTACAAGTTTTGTACTTGCCAATAAGCTTTCATGTGCACAATAAATAAATCATAAATAATGATGATAATAATCATATGCATAAATCATATAAAATAGAAACACCGTACATCAGCAAATATGTTTAAAATATAATTAAAACTAATGATGATAATATTTTTAAATTTAATATAATTAAAAATAATGATGATAATAATCATATATGCATAAATCATATAAAATAGAAACACCGTACATCAGCAAATATGTTTAAAATATAATTAAAACTAATGATGATAATATTTTTAAATTTAATATAATTAAAAATAATGATGATAATAATCATATATGCATAAATCATATAAAATAGAAACACCGTACATCAGCAAATATGTTTAAAATATAATTAAAACTAATGATGATAATTTTTTTTAACTTAATATAATTAAAAAATAGAAACACCGTAGATCAGCATATATGTTTCAAATATAATTAAAACAGCTTCGAGTGCAAAGGGTCATTACGGAGCAAAGCATGAATCAATGAGTCGGTTCAGGGACATTCCGGAATGAAGATTACTACTCACGTCGTCCGGGAACCTGGTCATCGTCCTGGTGTCCCATTCGAGGAGGAGAGCGCCCATGGAGTTCGCCTGAAACAGAATTTACCCGATCTGCAGCGATCCAGATACTCAAGGGGATCGAAATTCATTGATCGCACACCTCGGTAGCCGTGTAATCGCAGGCGATGTGAAGCGCCAGGAGTTGCATGGCAAACCCGACCAGCCATAGGCTCATGTTTAGTATCAAAGGCCAGGCTATCGACTTCAAGGACGCGAAGATTATCCAGTCAAAGATGAAGTAGAGGTTGCTGACGCTGTGCACGCTCAGATTGAACAGCCAGAACAGCAGGGACAACGAGTAGAGCGAGCCGAGCGTCTCCGCGACCAACATTAGCTCGTTGTGCAGTTCTTGGATCGTCTTTTCGGGGCGCAAAAGTGTTAATGGAAATCGGGGACTCGAAACCGGCATGATTTTCATACCGGTGTCGCAGTGACTAGGCTGTACCGAAACCGATGTAATGCAGAAATCGTTGCAACATCGAAACCGAAACGCGTAACGGTATCTTTTCGTCATTTGAAGTAACTTTTTCCTTTACAAAAATTGTCTCCGAGGCATCGTTCACGAGTTATTAACAAACGGACACTGGCCAATGAGAGGCGAGCTCGGCTGGCGCAAGGCGGCCGAGCCAATCAGTGGAACTGGGCTTCGCGCGCTCGTTGGCTCGGCCGCCGCGCGACAGCTGATCTCGCCTCTCATTGGTCAGTGTTTTTCGTTAATAACTCGTGAGCGGAGTTGCGGATTGCATTTTCGCTAAGGAAAAAGTTACTTCAAATTACCTCAGGTATCACCCTTTACAGATGTTAATGTAATTATGGGACACTCTGTATACATTGTAGGTAACACAATACGTTTAAAAGCCTTACTAATAGCCCTAAACGCGACTGATATATATTTAATTGTATTGCGTATTTAATTGATTGTATATTACTGATTTATTTCAACTTCCGACGATTTTTATTATAAAATATGCTTGATCGAAGAAATTCGTACAAGAATCTCTGATAGAAACACTTTTACAGTATCACGGATTGCAAAAGAAAAAAGTCAGAAACCAATCATTTTGACTGGTTTGATAGTTCTAGTGTTAACGTTAACTATAAAAATACGTTAATGTTAACATAAAAATGTCGAAATTTATATTATAGTATAATGAAGTATAGTGGAACTACAGTCGCAAAGAAGAGTGTAATGTTTCGTTTTTCCTTCTCGAAGTATAGTTAGTAAAATAAGTCAACTGTCGTTTATTTTTCTTTTTTTTAACACCTGGAATCTCATCTGAGATTCATATCACTGTCAACTATCATAAATCGTAATAACGTATCCCTTTCCACTCGCAAACATAGTACACACGTGCCTGCGCATAAACGTGCTATTAATTATTCTGACTTCTGTATCACAGCAATTGTGGTGTTGCATATCGGTTTCGGTATTTGCTAACGCAACGTCGATAGTAAAATAACATCGGTTCCAATCTATGCTTAAAAGTACATTGAAAATTGTAATGACCGTTCGACTAATATAATAATATTAACGACTAATTTGTAACAACTGTAACATTGAACTTACAGTCAACTTACATCACAAAAAAAAGTAAAAATGTCCAATATCATCGAAGAATGTTTAAACAACTATAAACAAACGCCAAAAGTTATGTCACACTTAAAAGAAAGCAAATTGTTTAGTGAAATTATATGGTAAATTAGGAAGCCTAGATTAGGAAAATAATGTAAAAATTTAATGCAAAACTGCTGTATATATTACACTACATGTAACCCTACAATGTTGTTATCCCACAAATGGTCGCTAATTGTTATTGAGCAGACGCGACGTTAAATAAATTAAATAAAAAAGAAACAAAAAAACAAAAAGGAAAACCGAAAAAAAGTTACCGACAAATACCTATAAATACCGATAAATACCAATAAATGAGCCGTTTATTTTGAAAGTGGCATAAGTCACTTTGTTTTTAAGTCGATATATTATATTTAAGGGTTTGCGTTTTAACACGTTTAAAAATATGGATGCTAACTTTCGAGAAGATCTACTTGTATTTGTTATCGCAGGATACTGATATTTTTCTCAGTATAAATAATTTCGTATAAACATTAAAAAAATCACCACTTTTCATTACGGTAAAGTGACTTATGCCACTTTCAAAATAAACGGCACAAATATCTCGGTATTTCGGTAAAAATCCCTGATATATTTAAGTACACCGCATAGTTTATCAGTGGACAAGACACAACCCCGAACCTTTCTGCTGAGGATGGTGCTCTTGTAGCCGACCCGGGCCGGTAGGTTCTCCCTGGTGATCCGGTTCAGCTGATGGAAGCGTTGCCCGAAGAACGTCACTATGCCGAAGAACTTGTACACGGAGACGGCGGTGCCGACGTAGGTCAGCATGTAGCTCACGTTGAACATCCAGGTCTCCTTAAACGCGTACATTCCGCTCTGATTGACCATGGTCCAGACGACAGCCTGGCTGAACAGGAGAGCCCACGTCGCGACCTCGACGGTACCTTCCTTCCGCGGATAGCCCAACTGGCGCAGCTTCTCGTCGAAGTCCTGCAGAGTGTTCCAGATCTTGACGAACGCCTTGCAGTCGAACATGGTCGAGATCAACTCGTACATAACCACCAGATAGTTGACGATCACCTGCGTATTTCACGGGAATTGTAAGTACAGTACAAATTCTCTGCGATTGTCCCGCGGCTTGTAAACAGAAATGGACAATTTTGGGAAGAGGAGATACGATTATTCGAGTCTCGCGGCACACTTTTATACAGTAATATCTTCCTAACTGACGCTCAGATTGTGCACAAAAATGGACAATTTGGGAAGAGGAGATACGATTATTCGAGTCTCGCGGCACACTTTTGTACAGTAATGTCTTCCTAACTGACGCTCAGATTGTGCACAAAAATGGACAATTTGGGAAGAGGAGATACGATTATTCGAGTCTCGCGGCACACTTTTGTACAGTAATGTCTTCCTAACTGACGCTCAGATTGTGCACAAAAATGGACAATTTGGGAAGAGGAGATACGATTATTCGAGTCTCGCGGCACACTTTTGTACAGTAATGTCTTCCTAACTGACGCTCAGATTGTGCACAAAAATGGACAATTTGGGAAGAGGAGATACGATTATTCGAGTCTCGCGGCACACTTTTGTACAGTAATGTCTTCCTAACTGACGCTCAGATTGTGCACAAAAATGGACAATTTGGGAAGAGGAGATACGATTATTCGAGTCTCGCGGCACACTTTTGTACAGTAATGTCTTCCTAACTGACGCTCAGATTGTGCACAAAAATGGACAATTTGGGAAGAGGAGATACGATTATTCGAGTCTCGCGGCACACTTTTGTACAGTAATGTCTTCCTAACTGACGCTCAGATTGTGCACAAAAATGGACAATTTGGGAAGAGGAGATACGATTATTCGAGTCTCGCGGCACACTTTTGTACAGTAATGTCTTCCTAACTGACGCTCAGATTGTGCACAAAAATGGACAATTTGGGAAGAGGAGATACGATTATTCGAGTCTCGCGGCACACTTTTGTACAGTAATGTCTTCCTAACTGACGCTCAGATTGTGCACAAAAATGGACAATTTGGGAAGAGGAGATACGATTATTCGAGTCTCGCGGCACACTTTTGTACAGTAATGTCTTCCTAACTGACGCTCAGATTGTGCACAAAAATGGACAATTTGGGAAGAGGAGATACGATTATTCGAGTCTCGCGGCACACTTTTGTACAGTAATGTCTTCCTAACTGACGCTCAGATTGTGCACAAAAATGGACAATTTGGGAAGAGGAGATACGATTATTCGAGTCTCGCGGCACACTTTTGTACAGTAATGTCTTCCTAACTGACGCTCAGATTGTGCACAAAAATGGACAATTTGGGAAGAGGAGATACGATTATTCGAGCCTCACGGCTCGTTTTTATAGCTGTTGACAATTCGTAACTATAAAAACAAACCACAAGGCTCGAATAATCTCCCCTTCCCCTAATTGTCCATTTCTGGGGACAATCCGAGCGTCAATTAGGGAGACATTACTGTAGTTGTTGGCAATCGGCGGTTGTAAAAACGAGCCGCGAGGCTGGAATAATAATCTCCTCTTCTCGAATTGTCTAATTTTTGTTTATAACTGACAGACAATTGGAGAGAATTCACTGTTCACGGATCGCTAAAATCAAACTGTAGTAAATTATCTCCAATTGTCCCTTAACTTGTAAACGAAAATGAACAATTTGGGAAGGAGAGATTATTATTGCACTCTCGCGGCTCGTTTTCATTGGTGTTGTTCAATCGAATTCTAAAAAAAGCTTTCACGTTTCAAAAGGTGTCCGAATAGTAACCCTTTGTAATCTGATTTATTTTTCATTAATTTGCGTTACATCTATAGTCAAGCTTTACATATATGAGCCGTTTATTTTGAAAGTGGCATAAGTCACTTTATCGTAATGAAAAGTGGTGATTTTTTCATGTTTATACGAAATTATTTATACTGAGAAAAATATCAGTATCCTGAGATAACAAATACAAGTAAATCTTCTCGAAAGTTAGCATCCATATTTTTAAACGTGTTAAAACGCAAACCCTTAAATATATCGATTTAAAAACAAAGTGACTTATACCATTTTCAAAATAAACGGCTCATATGTAGATGTTAAAAACAAGAAATGTGGATTTCATTAGTCTAGGTCAGACCCTTTTAGACGCTAAGGGCTGGGACATATGTGTCTCATTGGTTACATGTAAACAAATATGTGCGCGACATGCATTCTAAGACTGGTATATTCGCGTATTATGGAAAAACGGGATTCATTTCTCCCAACAGACGTACGAAATATGTAGCTGGAACGCCTATGTCTCAATAGACTCCAAATGGTTAAGTGGGAGTTCGCCGTACATGTATATGTTCAGATTTAGAGCGACTTGTCAGATTAGATTTAGCTAATTTAATGAATCTATTCCGTTAAATTTTGAAAAATATTCAACTCGCAAATTCTTTGCTCGAGGATTCGCGATCGCTTCCGGTACCTTAGTCGTTTCGACGACGCTCAGGATAGACTGGTATATTCGCGTATTATGGAAAAGCGGGATTCATTTCACCCAACAGACATACGAAATATGAGCCGTTTATTTTGAAAGTGGCACAAGTCACTTTGTTTTTAAGTCGATATATTTCAGGGTTTACGTTTTAACACGTTTAAAAATATGGATGCTAACTTTCGAGAAGATTTACTTGTATTTGTTATCTCAGGATACTAATATTTTTCTCAGTATAGATAATTTCGTATAAACATTAAAAAATCCCCACTTTTCATTACGGTAAAGTGACTGATGCCATTTTCAAAATAAACGGCTCATTTGTAGCTGGAACGCCTATGTTACGGCCAAGTGGCCAGGATTTATGGCCGGGGCCATGTGCTTGGGTACCCGGACGGTATGGGTCTGTCCCGGGCCGTTCCCGGGCGCATGCGGCACCGTCATAACGTCTCCTGATCCTTGATTACGGTCCAGTCAATTACGGTTGGGTCTGGCATTGTTCGGGCACGTAGGCCCATCAACGCGGGATGTCTAGCAGGAGTTATTTTGCCACTCTCCCTCCTAACTCCCGGCCCACCGTTTTGGGGCAGTCTCACTGGATTTGGGATTGCAGTGATTGGACCGTAATTCCTTGCCGCCCACCCTAGGTTAAGAGAAGTAGGGAGGACCGAGGTGATATTAGGCATGACTCCGGTCCTCTAGTAGACAGACAAGAGTAGAGACAAGCAACCCAGTCAGGAGAAGAACCTCGTCAGCACCGACGGTTCACTACACACGACTCACTGGACACGAGGCCACAAAGGACTCACTGGACACGAGGCTACAAGGGACTCACTACACACGAGGCCACAAGGTATTCACAAGACACGGTAAAACCATATTATTCGGACGGCACACCACGTGCAAACTTCTACAAAGCTCGAAGCTCACAAGGAGCACCACGAGCAGTGACAGCCTATGTCTCAATAGACTCTAAAAGATTAAATGGGAGTTCGCCGTACATGTATATGTTCAGATTTAGAGCGACTTGTCAGATTAAGTTTAGCTAATTTAATGAACTTAGTCCGTTAAATTTTGAAAAATATTCAACTCGCAAATTCTTTGCTCGGGGATTCGCGATCGCTTCCGGTACCTTAGTCGTTTCGACGACGCTCAAGATAGACTTCTCTCGTTTCAGGCTGATGAACCTCAGGAACACTATGTACATGATGTAAGAGTAGACGACCAGGAAAACGAGGGAGAAAAGGAGATAAGAGACCGACGTGGTCATCCGGTCGGCCACGAAATCGTACGGCGCCAAGCCGAACACCCTCGTCACGCAAACGACGGGGTAGATCGCCGAGTACAGGGGCGAATAAGGGCCGCGGTACTCTATCTCGCGGTTCTTCGTGCGAACAGTCATCTCGGCGTACACGTTGTCCACGTCGAAGGCTTTCGGGGGAGTCCCCGACTTCGGGCGAACCTCCTTTCTGCGCACCTGCCCGACCGGGTGCTGCTGTATCCGGCGCACCCTCCGCACCAAACGATCCATCCTCTCGCTCTTGGCGGTCTAGGGATCTCCAACGGCGATGGAAACAGAAAACGGGCAGTTTGTAAGTGTTCTTGCTAGCGTTTGACGATCGATTTACAGATCGCTAAAAACAGCTGTTCTCTGTTAGCTTATAATAAATTTTTTAATTAGTTAAAAAAAGATTTAGTATATGAAGTTTATAAACTGTATATACATATATATATATAAGACGTTTGTAATAATAATAATATAATAATATATATAATAATTAATATAATAATAATAATAATAATAATAAATTTTTTAATTACTTAAAAAAAAGATTTAGTATATAAAGTTTATAAACGATGGGAGTGTTTGTTTTGATTTCGGACGAGTGTTATTGTGACACTTACCACGGACATGTATTATATACAATATATATATTATTATTATTTATTATATATATATATAATCTCTAATAAAAAATATTGGTTTCATAATTAAATTTATTAATTGATCAAGTAATAAGTTAATTTAATTAAAGTGGATATCGATATCGATCTTTGTTTGGATATATGAGACACCTGGGTAAGGTAAAAGTACCTATTATGGAACGCTTTTCAGGCGGTACGAAATTATCGTCGATTTTATTATAACTCGGAAATGTTATTATTGAATATTTAATTTAATTATAACTAGCGTTCGATGGATCGATGTTTCGAATAACGTAGTGTGAACTTTGAAATGTTTATTTAGTACGAATAAAGAATAATACGAATAAGCTGGTAAAGTATTATTGTAATATGTAGCTGTTACAATTATTAACACCTTTTTTCGTACCATGTTCCTGCGTTCCATGTTCAATGTCTCTATTTTGGAACGGACTAGCTCTATCCAGAACTTGCAAGCATGCGATTTGTTTGTTCTCTTTTTATTTGTGCAATTGAACCCCTACGAAGAGGTTATTTCGCTGAGCATGTAATCCTTTTGTTTTTTTTTAATGTAAGCAGTTGAACCTCTACGAAGAGGTTATTTAGCTATGCGTATTATTTATATGCGCTTAGCGATTATGTAAATAACAAAAGATCGGAAGGAATTGTTCACTTTTTCCCACTATTTACGTCTTTGATGCATGATTTTGTGCTTCGAAGAAAGCAATCTTAGCAACTAAAAAGATCCTCGCGAATTCCATCCGCAGTGTTAATAGGTAACCGAGTATATACAATTAATTCTCCCCAATTAATGCTTAGATTGCGCACAAAAATGGACAATTTGAGAAGAGATTTATAGTTGTTGGCAATCGGTAACTATAAAAACGAGCCGCGAGGCTCCAGTAACGCTATCTCCTCTCCTCAAATTGTCCACTTTTGTGTGCAATCTGAGCGTCGATTAGGGAGAATTTACTGTACACGATTATTTCAGAAGTCGCAGCTCTAATCGCGACGCGAGATCGATCAACCAAAGGCGCGAAACGAATCGCAAACGAATCGCGCTCGCTTTAGCACACTCCGGCCTGCTATTAGTCAACCTTTCCGATATCCGAAGCGGTCGCCTGCGATTTGAAATATTAGCTTCGCGGGACCAGCGAGAAAATTTCCGGCACGTCCGATCGCGAGAAGCCGGGGAAAATCGTTTCCCTCGCGAATTCATTTAGCCCCGTTGATTTATCGTTGCGCCGTCGGTCATTTGTTCGCCGACCAGCTCATGGAATTTCCGCGTTGACTTGTCCAAGCATAATAATGCGCATAATAACGCGTCCCTCGCCGACGGCTCTCGAGGAAAGGAAATTAACGAGCCGCTTGCGAAAGAATCGTATCGGAAGCTTCGCGTGACCGGAACTAAAACGAAATGGAAAACGAAATCATCGATGCACCCTGCGTTATCGCGATAGCCCGGCGCGGCACCGGCGCGAATTTTTATTCTGTCCGAGCACACGGCGATCTCTCGGTGACAAAAATGAGGAGAACGTGGCGGCGTTTCGAGCGTTTTCAAGAAAATACAATTGGTTGATGCTATTAACGCGTTGTGTAATATGTTTTATAACATATGTTGTATGACGTGGTGAGAAACAAAAGTGACCACACACTTTTTAAAACTGGCTTGGAAATATTAGATGAACTAGTTGACTAGTCGACCAGATGATTATAATACTCTTTTTCTAATTTTGCTATTATTTTTGAAACTCTCGCTTTTTGGAAATATTAGATGAATTAGTTGACTAGTTGACCAGATGATTATAATACCTTTTTTCTAATTTTGCTGTTATTTTAGAAACTCTCGTTTCTTGGAAATATTAGATGAATTAGTTAACTAGTTGACCAGATGATTATAATACCTTTTTTTCTAATTTTGCTATTACTTTAGAAACTCTCGCTTTTTGGAAATATTAGATGAACCAGTTGACTAGTTGACCAGATGTTTATAATACCTTTTTTCCAATTTTGCTATTACTTTAGAAACTCTCGTTTTTTCACCTTTTTATCTGACCCTATAATAAAAATTTAAACAATGCTTTTGATACGTCCCGATAACTAACATAAATGTTAAAAATTTCATTGAAATTGGTTGTCGCATAGTCGAGCTACAGCCACTAAAACATGTAAAAATTACCCGTTTCTGATTGAAATTCGCGAAATTCTGCGATTTTCGCGATCTTTAATTATTCACACAGCTTATATCAAGGTTATTTTAAAAAACCGATTTCAATGAAATTTTCAGCACGTATATAAGTTATCGAGAAGCATTCTTATTCCAAATAACAGCAGAATTAGAAAAGAAATGTATTTTAATCACATCACAGTAAACTAGTTCCTCTAACATTTACAAAAACAAAGTCGCGTCATCTGGACCAGTGTTAAAAAAGTTATACCGTTTTAAAAAGTGTTTGGTCACTTTTGCTCCTCATTGTATACGTACATGTGCTATTATTAGACTGTACATAATATGTACAGTATAACAAAAATATGTATGTATATGTATCTATGTATGTAACTGCTACATTACATTACATGTAACTACATGTAATTAGAATTTTAACTATATGAACTATAATATAGTCAATAATCTAATTAAATCTGTCAAGTAAACCAGCTAATAAATACAAAGCCATTGTGAAAACTTGTTTTCGAATATTCCATTAAACAATTGCAGTGTGAAACGTTTAATCATACTTCGAATTTTATAATTTCCTCTTTAGATCGCCAAAATATAATATTTAAAATTCGCTTTAAAACCCATTAGCTTTAATGGATTATCTCTATACACAGAACACAAATTGTCCAAGATGTAACAGATGCAAATGTGTAACTCGTAAGTTAGATAAAAATGTCTTCCCTCTTTTAACGATTGCAATACGTTGAAAATAATATAACGATATTCTTGAATTCGTCCAATATTTTCGCAGTTTCGTATATTTAACCTGTTCATTTCAAATATATATCATATACTATTGATTACTATGATATACTACTAGTGAGAATGATTTATATATTTATCTATAATAATATAGTTATATATATTATATTATATTAATATAATATGATTAGTAATAATATATATAATTATTATATATTTATAATATATACTAATTATATATAGTTGTATATTAATATATATAATTATTATATTATATTATTATATTTATAACATATACTAATTATGTATAACTATATATAATATATGATTATAATATATCACTTTGCAGCAAAAACGTAAAAGTTGTTCCAATACATCGAATTCGAAAAATTGGCGAAAAAAAATCGCGCGCCTGGCCGCTGCGCCGGTAGATAAGAGCGCGAAATATCGTAGCCGGCCGGCGCCGCGACCCGAAACGGAAAATCGCGTTCGATCTCGCCCGCGCGCGACTCGTCGACGACGCCGTGGATCGCACGCGGTACGTTCTCCGGGTTACCTGTCGGCGACGGGTAGCTGTTGCGATCTCGCGTGGCCGTTGCCGAGGAACTGTGCCGCGGAATGATTCCCCGCGGGCAGGCCGAGTGGTCGAATATGTCTCCGAGCAACCGTGCAAATAAACGCAGTTGCCCGTCGCGATAAAATGCAATCGGGGCGAACAAGCACGCGGCACGCTCCTCCTCGCACCCCTGGATATTAGTTTAACCCCCGAGTAGGCGAATGATTGAGCGGTTCTCCGCGCAGTTGCGAACGGCCCCGGTTTTTTGCCCGACGCGATCGCCGATTCGAGACGTTTCGATTCGCAGTGTCGCGAGAAACGGTGTCCGCCGTCGTTTCCGCGTTTTCCGTCTGCGAACTGGGACGCCAACTCGGACGGAAACGACGCAAACAACGCTCGCTAATCTTCTATGCACAGGTCGTAAACAAGGCGGAGCGTCGTGCTCGCGAGCCATTTGCCTCGAGCGGCCACTCGTTAGCGAGTAATCACCGCTATTTTCGCGATCGGTATCTGGCGTCGCGGCCCATTCGGTATGCGGCGGAAACGCGCGGCGATCTCCCATCGGTCTGCGTTTTGGCTTTTCCGTCGACCCGCGTCCGCCGCCGGGCTCGGCAATGATAATTCGACCTCGTTCAAACAGATGGTATCCGGGACGATGACGAGTGGGGCAGCGTGATTTCGATTAACGTTGGACCGCCGATCGATCCGCGATAAAGCGGAAGCATTTCCTTCGCCGGCTCGCCGACGTAATTTACGAGCTCCGCGCGCTCGCGAACTTGTTTCTTCGCCGGGGGCGCGCACAGAAATTTGTGAGCGCGTGCTCCTTTACGGTCAATTCTGGCTTACGAGGCACCATTCGTCATCCCGCTCGTAAACTCCTGGACACACGGCTGCCTCGTCGCATCTCCGAGATTTACCGGCTGAAAATTATTGGCTCTACCCGGTATCCGACAGCCGTCCGTCTCGATCTCGTCGAGATCGTCGGACGGCGAAACTTCGCGATTGTACTTAACTGCTGCGCTGTATACATATATATCCATTGTCAGGACCCGCGACGCTTCGGCTCATCCGAATTTCAAACAGGCCTCTAGCAGCGCTTATGATAATGCCTCCCATGCATGACCTCGGAAGAACGCGCGGTGTATAAAACCCGCCGAATCTCCGCGTGTCACACGGTCGCGCCGTCATTGTTCTCTTTATCTCGCGCGCCGCTTTGCGAACACGAATATATGTACCGTGTGTGTGCATAATTGTAAACACAAAGTGAATTTTGCATTGTTACGAAAATTTATTATTTTGTTATTTTTTTTATTACTTATCTATTTATTATTCATTTATTATTGATTTATTATTTATTCATTTATTATTGATTTATTATTTATTCATTTATTATTGATTTATTATTTATTCATTTATTATTGATTTATTATTTATTGATTTATTATTGATTTATTATTGATTTATTATTGATTCATTTATTATTGATTTATTATTGATTTATTATGTATTCATTTATTATTGATTTATTCTTTATTCATTTATTATTAATTTATTATTGATTTTTTATTATTTATTTATTATTTATTTATTTATTATATATTTATTATCTGTATATTTCTATTTTCTATTATTTCTGATAAGAGATGTACGAATATGATATTTTGTTATGTATTTTATATATACAGAGAATGACTCGGCTAAAAGAGACTGCCAACGGTACTGTGACCAATTATAAACTCGAAGTAACTTTTACATTTTTACCGCCATTTGAACAAAAACTTAACCCTTCGCACTCGAGTGGTGACTCTGAGGCACCATTGAAATTGTCACATCACGTTTCATATTATATTATAAAAGTTTATATTATAAACTTTCGTTTTATATTATAAAAGTTTAAATGTAAAAAATTGTTAAAAGTCTAATTGTTGTATGAGTCACAAGACTGAATTTCATATGCATAAAATGCCCTTTGTCGTATAAAATGGAAATACCGTAAGTCAGAAAAATTCATTTAGATTTACAGTTAAAATGGCTTCGAGTGCAAAGGGTTAACAAAACACCATATTTGTATACCTCTGTGTTAGAAATAATATAAAACAGAGATATAGAAATATAATGTTTCGTTTAGTTTATGTTTAAATATCACTGAAAGTATAAAAGTTACTTACGTAATTTATTATGTAAAAATTAATTACAGTTATTCAGCCAAACACATACACCACCGTGTTAGAATTTCTGTATTTCCCTCTGCGGTTTTAACGACCCGAACAGTATAACAAAAACGGTATTATCGCGACCGTTGTAACGAAGAATGACATCTCGATCGCAAGAACGCCATGTTCGAACGTGATTAATTACCCGAGAATCGTCCGTCATCTATTAGACCCCGCAAATCGCTTACACCCACCACCGAAAGTATTAGGTCGCTTGAAAAAAATTATATAAATATGAAAATCCGATATGAAATTGTTGTAATTTTCTCAATGTATTTCGAAGTTAACTGTATGAAACTGTAACAAGCACGTAAATATAGCTTACGTTGTACTTACGATCATCCACCGCGTTTTTTAATTACTTATGGGACTAATTTCAGCATATTGTGTATATACTTTATTAATCTTCACTGTACACTTTGCTTAAAAAATCATATGTTGACCTTGACATGACCTTGGCATAACCTTGACATGACCTTGACATGACCTTGGCATAACTTTGGCATAACCTTGACATGACCTTGGCATAACCTTGACATGACCTTGACAAAACCTTGACATAACCTTGACATTGTACGAGGTCAATGCACTATCCTGCACACATTTCCGTGCGTGAAGTGGATTTACAACTAAATGGGTGAGTTTTTTATTGATAATATTCTTCATATTTCTCTAACAAACATATCCCTTACGTCCTTTAACACGATTATTATTTATTAAATTAGCGTGTTCGGACACGAAATTATTTAAATTAAAATATCGTTTACATACTTTGTTAATCGTCACTGTACACCTTGCTTAAAAATTTCATATGTTACACACAAGGTGTCATGTACACTAGAAAATTAAAACGGCCGTCACGGTTAAGTTACTTACTATTTCGGGTCCGAAAAATGAGTAAATATTCTTCAGACGTTCTAAAGTAAAGATGAACAGCGTTTTTCTTAAAAATATCACTGTTACGTAGTAAAAAAAATCTGGAAAGTTCTCGCTTCGTGATTTGTTCAATACTTCGAACGCGGCTCGAGTCCGTCCCGACCATCTGTCAAAGCCTCGTGCTGCGAGCTCTCGAACTTCGCGCCGTCACCTCTCATTGGTCAGTGTTTTTCGTTAATAACTCGTAAACAAAGCCGCAGATTGCATTTTCGCAAAGGAAAAAGTTACTTCAAATGACCTCAGCTACCCCTCATTTTCGACTGTTAAAATAATTGTGGAACACCCTGTATATTATATTATATATATATTCTATTATATTCTATTCTGTTACGATGATGTTCTATAGCGAGCGGACAATGATCCTGCGGAAAGAAAGCTCGCGGTGGAAGAAGGGCGCGGCGTCGCGCCGGCAACGTATTAGATGAAAATTTACGGCGGAAAATGTCTCGCAGGGACGAGGCGTCGCGACGGCCCGGAGAAATGCAATTTAACTCGGCGCCCGCGATGAATGATACTCATCGAGCGGTCAACACACCGGCCGAGGCTGTTCCCGTTCCCGTTCCCGCATCCGCGTCCACGCTCCGTGAGAATAAAACCTATTTTTATCTCGGTTTTCTAGCAAATTGCTTCGACGAACGGGAGCCGGATTAAAACTCGTTACAGCGTGCCGGGTTTGTCGTTCGCAGTCGCCGCTGCTCGTTTCGCCGGAAAACAATAAACCGGCTTTTCGGGTAGCTGCGATTTTCGAGCGACGCCGATTCGAGCACCGTGAACACGCCGTTGCAGGATCGATGGTAGAGACGTTCGACGATCGAAAATCGCTAAACAGAGAAGACTGTCATCGTCGTCATGGACAATTCGTTCCTCGCTCGGCCGTCGATTTTCTCTGCGAACGACGTTGAGGCAGAAGCTGCTCTCGAAGTCTATACCACGATGAAGATCCTGAAAGAGGAACTGTTCCGATGGGTCTGCGAGAGACACGCGACCAACGACCGCCTGGACAGGCAGATGCTGCGCGAGAAGGCGCTCGAATTGGCTAAGACCTTCGGGATTATCGGTACGATTTCGCTGCGAAAGCACTCGGCGAAGAGCGTCCTAAATCTTTTCGTAATATTCGCCGTTCTAAAGGGCCGTATTTCTAGGTTTCGATCGCAAGGAGAATGTTCTCGAGAACAATCTCAGAGAATAGGTTATGAATCTAGGTGGCGTCTTAAGATCGTGCTTAAGACGGTCTTATAAATTAGGCTTGACTGTGAATACGGCCCTAACTGCTCTTTTGCTCTCTCTGATTAGACCACGTCTCTAGTGTTGCTATACTGTCTGGTCATCATACCATCAATGTCCCAAAAATGTCTCGCAATCCGAAAATGAGGGGTTCCTGGGGTTGTTTCAAATAACTTTTTCCTCAGCGAAAATGCAGTTCGCGGCTTTGTTTACGAGTTATTAACGAAAAACTGTGACCAATAAGCGGAACTGGGCTTCGCGCGCTGGTTGGCAGGGCAGCCTCGCGCCAGCGGAGCTCGCCTCTTATTGGTCAGCGTTTTTCGTTAATAAATCGTAAACAAAACGGCGGATTGCATTTGCGCTAAGGAAAAAGTTACTTCAAATCACCTCAGGAACCCCTGATTTCCCAGTAGTGCGATAATTTTAGGACGCCCTGTATGCAGAATATGCAGAAGTGAGGCAGATATGTGCAAAAAATATGCAATATGTGTGTTCATAAGAACTGTATACATAAAATCAGTTGCAATGTGAATCGGTATTGTGATACATTCAATCTTAATTGTACATATTGCACCTTCGGACAGGATGTATGTATTCAAGGCCATTTGCGTATCTTCATCTGAACATCTTGCAGCAATATAGGTTAATTTGTGCACGCCTTTTACTTAGCGTAAATGAATATATTATTATTATATATTATTATATTATATTATATATATTATAATAATATATTAATATATTATATATATTATATATTATATTATATTATTATTATTATTCATTTACTTTAGCCCGTAAATGAATATATTATTATATTATTATTATAATATATTATTATATTAATATAATAATTATTATATCGTCTGCTTCGATCTTAGATTTCAAATGCTCGAAAAGATGGACGACCAGCTTTCTGAAGGAATACTGCATCGCCACGGACCCAGCGAACCTGTCGCAGCTCGATCCGGTTTTCAGGAACTACCGCAACTGGATCGACACGATGAGGTCCACCATCATTAAATACAAGCACCGCGATCTTTTCCACGTGGACGAGCTTAGCATGTACTCGGACGTCCTGCCGTCGAGGATCTCGACGTCCGGCAGAGCCGGGAATGATGTGGACAGCGATGGCACGCCGCGGAATCGAATCACCGTCCTGATAGGCTGCAACTCCTCGGGCTCGACGAAACTACCCCTGCTCGTCTGTGGCTCGTACTCGTCCAGGACGACCGTGAAGGAGCACGTTTACAGCCACAGCAAGGACAGTTCGATCAGCGACGAGCTGTTCCGCGGCTGGCTGACGGACTTGAACGACCGTATGTCGCGGGAAAATCGAAATATCCTTCTGTTCCTGCGTCGGAGCAGGAATCAAGCTCTCAGGGATTTCCCTTTGAGCAACGTGAGCCTCGCCTATCTGCCGAACGACTTCCCGCCGATGCTGCGGCCGTTGCGGAAGGACGTATTCCACTATGTGAAGATGATCTTCAGACGAAGGTGAGCACTGCCCGTGTTTCTCGTTTCGCGAGAATCCTGGAATTGAATGAGATCCGGTTACAGGTACGCGGAGAGGCTGAAACGACACACCTCCGAATGGAACTTACGGGACATCCTGAAGTCGCTGATCGAGGCATGGGAGACGCTGCCGCGGGAGATCGTGGTCTGCAGCTTTCAGAGGACCCATTTCCGGACCGACGACAGCTTCCTGCAGATCGACTGCGATTGCTGGACCGCCTTGGACACCGGCATCTCCTTCAGGAGATTCGTCACGTTCGACGACAACCTATCGGACGAGCCACGGCCGTCCAAGAACACCGCTCGTTATCACAGCTACAATCTGAGAGCGAACAGGGACATGGTGCAGATCTGTGAGAACAGCGCGGATTTGATTTCCGACGAGTTCGATCAGGCCGAGGAAACAGGGTCGAAAGAATCTCTGGGCGTAGTCGCCCTCCGAGGTCAAGAACAGAGGGGACCACTGGCGGACAGAACTTTCGGGGAAACGGAATTCGCCGAGCGGCGCGGAGCGTCCAGAAAAGCGCCAGCAAATATTAAAAATACCTTCGTGTCGCGAGACGTTGCTGTTAGCTTCGGAGGCGGCGAGACGTTCAAACAAGACCCATTGCTGGTGCACAGGCAGCAGATCACGTCGAGTAACCTCGAGGGATCGGTCCAGGCGATCATAGACAAAGCTTTGACGCTGACCACCACCGCGAAAAATGATTACGCCAAGAAATTAATCAGTAACATCTACGCCTACAATCGAGCGGAGAGGAGGAGCGCCAACAACGATCCTTCAAGGAAACGAGACGAGGTGAACGAAGAGCCGCAGGCTTCGTCGGAATCGAACCGACCCTCCAGTTCGGCGAGCTGTTGCGACGTATTCGAAAAGGTCGCGCGAGAATCTTCGGAAAAGATTTGTTCGCTGGAAGCAATCACTCGAACGACAGAGGATCGTGCCGAAGAAACCTTGGTGCAGCTGTCCAACGATGGCCAGCACACGACGGAATTCGCGAGCAAGAAACGACGCAAGTCCTGCGGTATGAGCGACTCGGAGGATGATTCGGATAGAAGCGCGTCGGACAAAAAGAAGCCAAGGGTCGACAGCAATTGGTCGAAAGAATTCGAGACTAACTTCGTTTTTGGCGGACAGAATGCCGTTAATTGCTGCTCGGGCCACGAACGCGACGAGAACACCGTGGTTTCGTGCACCATGAACACCACGCCCGAACGCTTGGCTTCCCCGAGAAATTAAAGTCACGTTAGAAAAATATATAGAACTCAAAGTATGTACTGGGCAGTCGGATTGGTTTTAAACCTTCATCCGATCATAATGGAAATCTTTGCGAGTAGCTTTTGGGGTAAAACAGTGTGACCCCGTGTGCATCCAGTGGATGACGACCCGCCATCTTGTGAGTATAGACATGTAGCTCGTAGAATTTTTTTGCTGCGACACTTTCCGAAAGGTGCCAAAATGACGATATTCGAATATTTTGTATTCGTACGAGAAACAAATATATGCTTGAATGCTCGACGAACTTTCGGGTATACTGTATTTTCCACAAAGTATGTTTATCCGAATATTCGTAAATATTTTATAAGGTAAGTGATCTTTTTCCTTCGTATTCGATTTATTGAAAAATATTACAAATCGTAAAAAATAAAATAGGAATTAACATCGAGACTATTTTTTAACCGTTTTTTAACACTTAGATAAAATGTGCATGGCAATAACATTAATAATACTGTAATGACTTAATAACAAAACAAAATGGCATAGTCCCAATTATGTGTTATACAATTCATTTATTGGCGAATACTTTGCCTTGTGTATGGTATCTAAAACTTTCTCTAATATTTCGGTATGTATCAGTGATGGCTCTTCGTCAGCATTGATTACATTCCATGTGCTGCCTACTAATTTCTTATAGTTCGATGCCACGGATTGTTGAAGATTGGTATTTTCAAATCGCTCTTCTCCCCAATTACTACGCTTACGTTGCGTCCCGTCCGAAATATCTAGAAATATTACTATATCCGGATCGGGCAAACCTCTGTCGGGTTCTCTACACCAGGCTAAATTTCTTTTTGTTGTAGCTGCAGTATAAGCTGCACCTGATGCAGCATACCTACGGCAACGTTAACATAATTTTTGTGTTTATTTGTTAATCCTATATATTGGACTCGTGTTAAACGAATTATCATTGTCAGAATGTACCTATCAATAATGAGAGTAGTTCCACTGTTCAAAGTTCTCAAAATCTTATCTTTCAATTCCCACCTATTTGCAGAAAATAGAAGATGCATCGTTTCCGGTGGATATTCCTGTTTTTTCGTTAAAAAGTCGTTTATCATTAACCCGATAGGAGTTGTTCGATCTATAAATAAGTATGTAACTTATTAATGTTTTGCCATATGTAGGAAATCATCTATAAAACAGAAACAAAAAATACTTACTAGGAAATGATTCGCGTTCTACAGGAATGTTATGTTTTCTTAGAGCATCGACTAACATTTTAACCTGCGTAGATTTTCCAGCCCGATCGCAGCCTTCAAAAACAATCAATGCTCCACGTGGTATTGACATATTTATCGGTGTTATTAATTATGATATATTATCAACTACCTTGTATGAGATTATCAACCTCTGATTTCGTCAAACTTCTTAATTTAAAATAAGGTTATCTTCGGCATGGAGTACATTAAAGCGACGATAGCGCCATCCACGGAAGTGAATTTTTAAATTAATTTTCCCTATTCCATCCATGTGTGTAAGGTAAAGATAGGGATAGTGTGTGAGAGGGACAGAAGAACATAAAAAACTAAACCGGGGGGCACATAACTGTTTAGAAGAATCTGCTGCATGTCGTGTGAGAAAACCAATGATAACAACGCAAAATATAATTTCGGGGGATTCGTCTAAATAATTTCATATCCTTGGTTTAGTTTTTGATGTCCCAATTTTGCCAAAATTAATGATTTTCGCAAATCTATTTGTGCGATTGTGACGCCTCATTTGGAGAAAAAATGAAGCTCCGTTTGATGTGTTCGTACAGCGCCAATTGTGCTAGTGGCAAAACACTCAAACTATTCGCCAAATTACCAACTATCGAATTTGAATAATAGTTCGAGCGTTTTGTCACTAGCACAATTAATTCTGTACGAACATCAAACGGAGCTCCATTTTTTTCTCCAAAAGAGGCGCTACAATCGTCCACATTATACTAACTGCACAGTCGCCTAATAATATTAATTATGGCAAAATTAGGGCATATTTGCTGGATTGATATCGTGTAAGAGAATCAGACAACAATAACGCAGTTTAACAATTAATTACGATTACAGAAGATTCTCCTGAACAATTATGTGTCCTCGGTTTAGTTTTTTATGCCCTAATTTTACCATAATTAATATTTTTAATAAGAAAAGTATCACATGCATTTCATTTTATGTTTTAGGGTGGAAAGGCCTGGGAGGGTGTAGGATATAGATATTATCTACTAAACCTGAAACAATTTTTAAGCCTGTGCTCTAGACAAAACTTGGACTGGCATATGCACTTTGTCTTCCAATATTTCTTCAATGAATATTTGTTCAATGTAAAGCAACATAAAGGGAAACCTAGTCAACAAAATTCTTTTCCCTAAAATTACAGGAATGTTCCGACGCGAGCGTGTATACATTTGTTTTATAAATAAATGTAATTAGATTGCTACCTTAGGGGTTTCAGTGCAACCAAATCTTATTAACCAATTGTCAAATCGGATTACACGGGGACTTGCTTGCTGACCGTTGTCTTGTGGCTAGAGAATCGTTCGATGACGTAGAACAAAAAGACGTAAATCTATCGTCGAGTGTCATCCCATCTTTCCAATCCGCTTGTCGATAGATTTCGGTTCCGTTATGTAACAAGAACCGCTTAAATAGCACCAATATTTTTATTGTTCGTTTAGAGGCAACAGGCTTCTAATATTGGTTTTCCACGTGCATCGTTCAAAAGCGGACGCAAAGAGAAATGGAATATTTTTTTTAAACATATTCAACGCCCTCGAAAGTTTAGTTTAAGATAAGAAGCAGAGTTGGAGCAGAAGAAGATTTCATTGGGGAAAAATTACGAATTTATTTGTACAAAAAAAAAATTGTTCAACGGAACAAAAGATAGTAGTAGTCACAGTTGTCGACAGTGTGATGCAGCGAATTCGTTTGAAGTGTGTATCCCACAATACAGAGCGTACTCGTAGTAACATGAAATATAAAATTCTCATCATCATCAACTATTATATATAGTTAACTTTCTTTTTCCTTCGAAAACATGGTCAACATATAAATATACAGTCATCACGTTAAGTTAAATGTATATCGATACAAGTACATTACATATACAGCGAATCTATACACGGTATAAGTAAAAGATTCCTACACACATCCGATGTCTGATTTTCTTTCTCTCGTCGGTGGATCTGTCGTTTCAACGGTCTCGATACATACATAAATGCATACCATACGTATATGCCAGGTGTATATCTGTGTGTATGCGTGTGAGTGAGTGAGTGGGTGGGTGGGTGGGTAGGTGGATGGGGTGAGGCGCGCGCGTGTATATACATATATATACATACACATACAGACACACACATACACGCACCCATATAGTATATAGATATTATGTGTATATATCCGTATATATAGATACGTGTATATATCCGGAAATATATGCCGCTAATACAATTATACAAAACGCTACGGCGAAATTGATAGATCAGCGCTGTTTCCTTCCTGAAATATTTCGCTTGTACAATATCTTTCTGTTTGGAGAAATATACACTTACCAAAGAGCTGGTACACGGATACGCTACCCGATTAGAAAAAGAGAAACGAAATACAGGAACGAACGAAAACAGAACAATATTATACGCATAATACATACATATATGCATGTACATTATACATATACGTATATTTATGTATGTATGTATAGATCATATACACATCGAAAAAGTTATCAATTTACACGAATTACAATATGAACGGAGTATCGTTTCAACGGACAATGTCTCTCGTTTGACCGCGACGCGCTCGGGCTTGCGCGACGCGTAACAATTTTTTGGCACTTGCAGCGAAGAATTCTGGTAAGACTTTCGAAGAATCAGACGGAGGGTAGGGCTAGGGGGCATACGAGGGGTAGATTCTACGACGATCGTCGCGTTGTTTCCGAACTAAAGATCGACGACTCGTCTTTAGGCCAAAACACCGACTTAAACGCGGAGATACGCGACGCGTTGTGTCCGTTGACTACGGCGAACGGCCGATCGCTTGGAAAATATGTACGGAATCGTGTTAGGAACATACAGAGAAGCATCCGTATCGTTCTCCGTCCGTTGGTCAGTCTCCAGCCGCCGGGAGGGGCTATCTCTCTCCTTTCTGTTCGCTCGCAGAGTCGCGTCGTCGCTGGGACGATCCGAGGATGATCAACCGCGTCGCGGGCGATCTCTCGGTCCGGGATGTTGTTGTTCTCTGCTCTCTCTCTCCCTCTCTCTCTCTCTCTCTTTCTTCTTTATCCTTTCTCTTTCTCTCTCTTTCTGTTTGCTCTTCTCGTTGTACTCTGGCCGACTACTCTGTACTCACTCTCTCGGACTCTCGGAGCGTCTCGTGTTCAGTCTTATCTGGTGGTACACGGTGATCCCGGTCACGTCATTTGCGCGGCGTTGAATCCGCGCTTCCTCGGCGTCGAGAAATGCTGGGGACTGGTGATCTGATACTGTTGCACGTACGGATTGTTCCTGAGAAGGTTGCCGGCCGGCGAGCCGGCCGTGTACTGCGGCGGCACCGTGATTATTCCGGTCTGCTGCAAATACTGTTCGCGATAGAGCGCCTGTTGCGTCACGTACTCCCCGTTGACGGGGCTCTGGCCGGCGTAGTGCACCTTCACGGACTTCAACGGCTGGTTCGCGTTGCACTCCTTATAGGTGTCGTGATAGCGCAGGCTGGTCGGCGACGAGCCGCTGCCCGGCGGCGTCGCGTTCTTCAAGCTCTGCGTGGGACTCTGCGTGATCGACTCCAACACGTGCCGGGGCATGCTCGGCGAGGGGCAATGATGGGTCTCCTGCAGACCGTCCACCCTGTTCGCGTTCCTCGTGTAGATGGGCGCGCTCTCCGGCCTGCCGCCCACGATGTTTCTCATTCCCTCCCGGTCCTTGGCGCTCAGGCTGTGTCGGGACGAGTTCGAGATCGAGTTCCGGACATTCGACCAGCTCACGCTGGCTAGCTCCCACTGCCGCAGATGGCTGGAGAGTCGCTCGGCCCGGGTCGTCGCGTCCAGGCTCTCGTCGTAGTCCGGACCCTGCAATCAATTCGTCCACAATTATCGTCTGTAGAGACGGTTATATTCGTCGGTGAACCGACACGCGGGGGACGCGATCGGCCGTCGAACGTCGCAAATCCGAACGGGAGGCGCGGCGATACGGTGGAAAAGGTGGGAGTAGTCAGACAGTCGGTGACCTTGTCTGGCCAAAGTCTTCCGCGTTTACCGCGCAGTAACGTGTCGCGTTTCTATGCAGCACCGTAAACAAGGGCAACGACGGTGCATCGAACTTTCGATTAGCATTAATTACCGGCAGCTACGCGGCGCTCCGTGCCAATTACCGATTCGCCGGCATTAGCACACTATCCTACTAACGAGCAGCCCAGAGAGAGACAGAGAGACAGAGAGAGACAGAGAGAGAGAGAGAGACGAGCCGAAAAGCGCGGCAGCGACTCGCGAAATCATTTTCGCGGAATCTCGATAAACTCGAATCGCGCGTTTCGCAACGCCGTCGCTTGTTTAGAAAGCTCCGGCTCGCTTCGACATTTCCGTCTATATTTAGCGCAACATTGTTCCGCCCGCGGGGCTAGCCTGTAGCGCCTCGGTTGCGCATCGAACGCGCTAGTAAACAAGTTCGCTGCTGCATTGTCCCTAGCTTTGGAATTCTCCGCTTGCCGCGACGGAACGTTTTATCGCGTCGTTAACTAATCGACCGACGAGAGAACAGGGAAACCGGTGCATCGAACTTGGATATTGCGCTGCCGTTGATCGAACTGCGCAACGCTCTCGCGAAATCGAGTCAAGTACGACTGGGTGCGCGCTTTGGATAAGCCAAGGTGTCCAAGTTGTTCAGCAGAGGAGATATGTCGGTCGTTTTTTGGCCGAAAGTCGGGATTTCGGCGAGTTTCCCAGATCTTTGTGATTTAGAGATCTCGAGGTCGCTTTCGTGCGTAATAGAAATTGAGTTGATTGCGAGAAACGTACGTTAAATGAAAATGTTTCTCCACTTTTGGCAATTAATATGATGCGACAATATACTCGAATTCTTCTTTTAATGACCTTACGATTTTATATTCGACCTATTCATTTTTCTCATAAATGCATAAAATTCGCGGTCCATCGACAGCGAATTTGAAGCTAAAGATTTGAGATTCAAAATGGCGGCCCCGATGGACGATACTTAGCAGACTAAAGGGCGCGGATAACGAAATAACTAGAATGTAAGCGTTCGCATACGTGAAAATATATCTGAAGCTTGCATTGTTACGTTTAATAACAAATAATTAAAATAATTAGCTTCGATTCGATAAATTTTTTCTTTGCAACGCTACGTTTCGCCGTAAAGTTCTCTGACAAACATCATTTGGATTTCATGGTTTCAAAGGACAGTCGCATTACAGCAGAAACAAAATATCATAATATGAAAAATAAGATATCTCGAGATATCATAGTCGAAAGATTGACCTTTTTCGGCTAACAATTACCGACCTCCGGACCAACTTGCCTTAATGCAGAGGCGTAGGCGAGGGCGGAAATTCGCGTCCCACGATCGATAACCGTCGGCGAGCAGTCGATGAAAGCTGCGAGATCCGCCGGCAACCAGCGACCGCTGCGTCGCGACGCGCGGATTAATATTATTATTGCAACAAGGCTGCACCGCAAGGCCGGTGAAGCCTTAAGGGGACGTCTATTTTACATGGCCTGATTCGAGCGCGCGTTTCGCCGACGCGATGGAAGCGATGCAAGCGATAGATGCGACAGATGCGATGGAAGCGAGACAGCCGCTCGGCTCGCGTAATTCGAGGCTGATCCCGATCTTTCCATAACCGGGATAAAAGCGTGGTTACGTGCGGCTCGGATCGCGTGGGAAAGGCGGCAACGAGTCCGCAACAAGGACGATTCGCCGGTCACGGAATGACGCAATGTCTAATGGGGCCGTTAAAGGGTACATTCTTCGTCGCGACGCGAATTCTGGCACGAACGAACGTCGGACGATGCTGGATCGTTGCTCGTTGGTCTATCCGAAAGGTATCATCCTTTGTGCGTATATCCAGCGAAAGGAAAAATAATAATAATAAATATATGAAATTACTATATAATAATATATTAATATATTATATATATTATATAATAATATATTAATATATATTATATATATTATAATAATATATTAATATATATTATATATATTATTATATAAATATATATAATAATAATAAAATTCCAAAATAATTTTCACATCGTCAGATTTCTTTATACTTTAAAAAACAATTAGAACTGTTCTATGAGTCGAAAGACTAATTTTCACGAAATGCGCCAAGTCGTGTGACCAAGTTAGGTATTTTTTTACGAGTAAAAAGTTATAAATAATATTAATGCGAGTTATTTATAATATGCAATCCTCGTCTCGATTCGACGATTTTAACAATACAGTAAATTCTCCCTAACTGACTTTGTGCTCAGATTGTGCACAAAAATTGACAATTTGGGAGGAGAGGACACGCGATTATTCGAGCTTTGCGGCTCGTTTTCATAATTGTTGACAATTCGTAACTATAAAACGGAGTCGCAAGGTTCGAATAATCGTATCTCCTTTTCCCAAATTGTCCACTTTTGCGCGCAATCTGAGCGTCAGTTAGGGAGACATTACTGTATTCTGCTCGCGTTCGTTGATTGGATCGAGATCCACGGCGGTTATCGGGTATCCAGCATTGTTACCGATCTCCGGCCAGGGTGTCCATAACTCCAGGGTGTTTCGAGGACATTCGATAGCCGGAGGCCAGTTTCCGGGGCACATTCGCTCGCTTCCGGCCGCTACGGCCGCGTATCGGACTCTGATTCGACCAGGCTGCTCGTGTTCACAGAACTCAATCCGGCGTCGCAAGGACGAGAAACTAGAGCGTTTGTCCCCTTAATCTGTTCCGATCGCAGAGACCGGCGCAGAATGTATCTATGTACAGCGCGCGGATCGGTCGAAGGAATAAGCGAATTGCGAGGCAAATCGAAACTCGTCTTCTCTAGCGAACGGATGAACAAGGAGCGGCGTGATTCTTGCTTCGGAAACTTACGTTTTCGATCTTCTCGTCGAGCATCTTGAAGAAGTCGAGCTGGCTGGTGGATATCTCTCTGTAAAATCGAAAGAGAAGCGATCGATTAATTTCGCGTGAAAGTCGGCTGGATCTGTAAAGNATCTGAGCGTCAGTTAGGGAGACATTACTGTATTCTGCTCGCGTTCGTTGATTGGATCGAGATCCACGGCGGTTATCGGGTATCCAGCATTGTTACCGATCTCCGGCCAGGGTGTCCATAACTCCAGGGTGTTTCGAGGACATTCGATAGCCGGAGGCCAGTTTCCGGGGCACATTCGCTCGCTTCCGGCCGCTACGGCCGCGTATCGGACTCTGATTCGACCAGGCTGCTCGTGTTCACAGAACTCAATCCGGCGTCGCAAGGACGAGAAACTAGAGCGTTTGTCCCCTTAATCTGTTCCGATCGCAGAGACCGGCGCAGAATGTATCTATGTACAGCGCGCGGATCGGTCGAAGGAATAAGCGAATTGCGAGGCAAATCGAAACTCGTCTTCTCTAGCGAACGGATGAACAAGGAGCGGCGTGATTCTTGCTTCGGAAACTTACGTTTTCGATCTTCTCGTCGAGCATCTTGAAGAAGTCGAGCTGGCTGGTGGATATCTCTCTGTAAAATCGAAAGAGAAGCGATCGATTAATTTCGCGTGAAAGTCGGCTGGATCTGTAAAGTACGGGACCGGTCGAAACGCACCTGGCTTAATTTCACGCATCTCTTTTTTTGCTTCTTTTTATCGAAAGGATTATTTCACAATGAATAAGAAAGCGGTATTTACAAGTTTAATAGCAATATTACTTTGTTTCGTTACACCGTTCCATTCGATGGGACCAATTGACGAACGGAACAAAATGGATATTTTAAAACAATTGAAAATAATGCGAAGGTAGGAGAAACTCGTTGACACTCTGCACTCTCATAGCAAAAGAACCGATCTTTCAAACTAGCATTCGATAAGTCGTTTAACCCCTTGCCGTACCATTTTCTTCATAATTAAAAGAATGATTAAGCATATTTTCGATTGTAATAATTTCTTCGAAAGAAAAGAAAATTTATGTTTATCGCGTGTCTACATTTATTGGGATGATTAAAATATTGATTACAAGAGGGCACAATTTTATTCTGGCTTAAAAAAAAATAGACGGAATAATATTGATATTTAATACTAAACCTACCGAGCACTAAAAGCAACGAATTTCTGTTGCTCTCTAAGAACGATAAAACCGAATCTATTTAGACTTCCCATAATTTTTATTACAACGAATACTCGGGACTGTGAAATTCATTTAATAATTTCCTATGAAAAAGTCTCTATAATTTCAGCAATTTTAAAATACAAAATGTAAAACCGGTCATTTTGACCGACTTGGTAGGTTTAATGTTAATAGGATATTACTAGAAATCTGCACCGCGAGTCTGACTCGTTAAAGTACGGCGAGGGTTTAATATTTCTGTAATCTTCGCTGAAATAAAAAGCAGCGCTCCCCTATACAGTTCACAGAATTGCGTGAAACGTTTCTGGCACGAAGACAACAGATCTACAGGTGTGTTTCGAACGGTCGGCGGTCCGGGGGCACCATTGGTTCGCGTTCCATCGACGCGCACGCCGTAAAAATGGCGTTCGACGAGGAGGAGGCGTGGCTCGCGGCGCGTCGTCGGTTTCGCGGTTATTTTGAAGTGGCACTATTATTTATCTCTGACGGATCTATTCGTGGACCGCGGCGGCACAGCGTGGATGCGAATAACGGATTATGCAACGCGAATCGACCGACGACCGAAAGATATTATATTTAGAAGAAGTTAGAGCGAGAAAGGCGGACGACGCTGGCTCGTCGTCGCAGCCGGATGAAACGTGCCCGAAGGAAGCGACGATACGGTGCGGTAAACTCGGAGGAGCCGCAAAGATGATAACGATCGATTACTCATCGCGACCCGGTGCGCGACCTCTTCTTAAAATGATGAACAACGGTTCTTCCGAGGACGCCGAGGACGTCCTCGGTTGCTTTCCGGGTCGAAAGTTCCCGGGAACACCGGTTTACAGCTCCATCGGGATTACCGACTCGAGACATCGCACAGTGGACGCACACTTTTCAGAAAAGGTTGGCCAAAATGTTATTTTCGAAGTGCATAGCGGCAAGATGTCGCATACATATTGTATACATTCTAGAATGTCGAATGACGTTTGAAATTTAAAAATATTGCAGAGACTGTTCGATCCGAAGGAACACTTTTGTAATATTCTATTATATATTTGTAAACATTCTATCGTCTGAAAATTTCATTCAAGTTCTCTGCCAATGATTAGTAATTTTTTAAATTTATAATTTTACTAAGATGTCGTATACGTATTGTAGACATTTCAGAATGTCGAATGACGTTTGAAATTTAAAAATATTGCAGAGACTGTTCGATCCGAAGGAACACTTTTGTAATATTCTATTATATATTTGTAAACATTCTATCGTCTGAAAATTTCATTCAAGTTCTCTGCCAATGATTAGTAATTTTTTAAATTTATAATTTTACTAAGATGTCGTATACGTATTGTAGACATTTCAGAATGTCGAATGACGTTTGAAATTTAAAAATATTGCAGAGACTGTTCGATCCGAAGGAACACTTTTGTAATATTCTATTATATATTTGTAAACATTCTATCGTCTGAAAATTTCATTCAAGTTCTCTGCCAATGATTAGTAATTTTTTAAATTTATAATTTTACTAAGATGTCGTATACGTATTGTAGACATTCTAGAATGTCGAATGACGTTTGAAATTTAAAAATACTGCAGAGACTCTCCGATCCAAAAGATCATTTTTGTAATATTCTACTATATATATTTGTTTGTAAAATATATTTGAAATCTAAAATTATAATTTCAAAAACAAACGATTAGCAATCATTGGTAGAGAACTTGAATGAAATTTTCAGATAAACGAACGTTTGGATACCAGAATATTGTAAAAATATTAATTTAAAAAATAGTTAAAATTAGTTATAATGAATAGCAAAAATTAGTTATTAAAAAATAAATGTTCGGATAATGGAGTCTCTACTTATAATCCATGGTTATCGAGATGTGAACCATTAAAGTAAGCGAATCCCCGTGCTTTGCAATATTTTGACATACATATGTATTTGCTTTCACATATTTTGTTTCAAAGTTGCTGACATTATAAAGATTCTTTCGTAGAAAATGATCGAATTTGATTTTAACAAGCACATCTATCTACATTATAATAAAAATGAACACATAATCTTGGCATCCTTATAAAGCAACATTGTGTTTTCTTTGTCTTTGTAGCAAACGGTTTCGACCAGTAAACGCTAAATAAATAATGATAATAATTATAACAAATTTTTGGGAGAAGGTACCACTGTGCTCCGTTATTTTTCACCGAGTGCGTTTCGACTCTGACAGTCTACGAAATGTAACAACCGCTCAACAGCTCGCTCGCGTATGCATCGGATGCATCGGATGCATCGAAACTTACGTTTGCTGCAACAGAGGACCGTTTCCAGGTGCACTCGGCTTCTTCTTGCCCTTATCGCCGGTACCATTCTGCTCCTCGTTCCTGTTCACTTCGACCCCGTTGTTGTTCGTCTTGTTGTTCTTCGCGTTTCCGTTGCCGTTTTTCTGTTCCACCGACGCGGAACCTGAAACAACGTGTAAACGTTAGTCGACGGAGCTCGCGAACGGGAAATTCCTGTAGAAGAGATCGGCAACTCGGACCGCGTTTGCCGTGAGCTGCATCGGGAGTCGCGTACACCCCCCTCCAAAAGTATTAGGAAGAAAGTTAGATGAATAAGAAAAACCGATATAAAATTGTAGTAAGTTTTTAAAATTTATTTCAAAGTTAATTGTATGAAACTGTAGCAAGTATATAAATATATTTTACGTTGCAATAAAAATAACGTCAATTTTATAAAAGAAAATGAAATTTTCTTCTCGTCGATATGTTCACCGCATTTTTTAATTACTTTTTCAACTAACTTCGGCATCCGTTTCATTAGTTTTTCTATAATAATAATAATAATTATTATTATTATTACTATTATTATATAATAATAATATATAATATATAATATAATAATAAAATATAATAATAACAATTATAATAATAAGATAATAATAATATCTATTATTATATATAATTATCTATTATATATTCTATTATTATTATCTATTATTTCTATTATTTTTGATAGTCTTTGGTTCATACATTTTGTATTATGTGTTTCACGTATTAAGAAAATATATTAGAAATCGATGCGCGTCGTACCGAGCGAAGAGTATGAAATATGTCCTAAACTCGGTTTCAATGAAGAAAATGCACTAAATGATTAAACTAATTGCACAAATGACAAACACTTATAACTTGATATGTACTGTCGACGATGTGACGCCGTATCGCAGACTCGCAGACATTGCTTAAACCGAACGGAATATTACAATTTATACCAAATAAGCAGGTGCCCTAATTACTTCCGGAGGGTGGTGGGGGGTACGTAATGAAAGAGCGAAAGTGTTCACGACACACGAGTGCAAGGTTCAAGACTGCGCTCGTAAACACGCTCAATCTTATCGCGAGCCGCTTGACACTTTTAAGGGCCGTCACACTCGGGCCCGAGTCCAACCGGAGTATTCGATTAAAATAGACCGACAGCTGGCTATAAATGACACGCCGAGGCGAGGGTTCGACGCAACGAGCCGAGCTTCGTCCACGCGGTTCTCGGTGCCGCGCTTCTAGCAGCGTTCTGGCAATTCCTGGAATCAGCCGGTCCTCAACGGGAGCCTAAACTACGGGTCTGTTTGGAAATTATTCTCGAAATCGAAGATACGCGTTCTTTGACGCAGTCAATCGCAGTCAATCACGGTCAATCACCGTCAATCATAATCAATCACAGTCGATCGCAGTCGATCACAGTCGATCATAGTCCTCTCACCAGAAGGCAACATTTGCCTTCCACACTCTGTCGTCAGACCCTTCCGGAAACCTTGACCTTTAACCCTAGTCCCTTACCGGTGTCAATTTAACACTATCTTTTCAGTTTTAGAATATATTATTCTGTTATTTTTGGGAAAATTCATTTCAGGCTTCATGACTTTCATTTTCGGCGAATTTCAACGGATATGTTGAATACAAAAATCAATCTAGCAAATTGGTGATTATTACCCGATATGAATTAATCGAGTTAGCGTAGACATCTCGTAAAGAGTAAGCATATTTTGATCGTCCTTGGTTAATAAAAGATATTTACAAAATAGATAATTAGTGAAAAGTGTAATTATTATTTCCATGAAAATAAAATAAAAATAGGATATAAAATAAAATATAAAATAATATAGAAATGAAAATAAAAATAAAATATAAAATCAAATTTAAAAACTTCTAATAATTCTTTTAACCTAAAGTATATGCATCTATGATTATCAGACTGCGGAACTTCATGCAAAATAAAAACTGTACAGCCAGTTCACACCTTCTTTAATTATTTTTATAACTTACAAGTAAATATTTAATAAAACTGATTTAATAAATTGACATCAAATGACAATAAAATAAAATTTAATATATTGACAACTTAAATTCTGTTATTCTCTCTGCCGCTTTCAATGGCAACTACTTAATTTTCCCATAAACGCATAAAATCCGCAGTCTGATAACTATTATTTCCAAAAATCTACTTCTCGCAAAAAATCCGGAATTGTTCCAAATTAATCGGTTTGGCAACACCAGGCTTGTTTACCCCGCCACGTATAATTGTTTCGACTGATGTCGGCCAACAAGTGGGCTCCGTCGCGACGCAGCTGATCGGAGAATTGCTGGACAATGGGAGGTCCAGTGAGACCGAGGCTGATAATACTTATCGACGGAAAAAAGCCGGGGCCGCGAGGCGCGGAATCGTTTTAACCGCGGAGCCGAAGCGACGAGAAGAGAAGAGAATAGAAGCGAGACGAGGCGAGGAGAGACGGAAATCATTGGACCGTGGAATACGCTCGAAGATCGAATCGAATCGTATCTCTGCTCGTAATGGAAAACGGACGAGAGGACGCGGAGTAAATAAAAACGGGGAAAAAACCTGGGAAAAACGGGAAGTAACGTTGGGGAGGGGAAAAAACGAAAAAAAAGCGGGATAAAAATCGGAGAAAAGGGAGAAAAAGGAACGCGTCGATCCAGCAATTTGCGGTCGCGCCGACAATTACGCGGCCGTGTTTCGCGATCGAATTCCGTTTCCGGTCCCGCAACAAAGCGGCCAACTCGATCGGTTCGGCCTAATTGGAGAAAATCCGTCGTCCGCGATTCTATCGGTCGTAATAGAGCCGTCGGGGGCGCGTTATAATAGGCCGCAAGGCCCGGCGATTTGTTCCCCGCACCGCGGTAAGTCTTCGGCTGTTTGATCGCCGCACCGCGTAATCCTGTTAAAGCCTTAATATCGTTACCTAACCTTGTCTGATCTGTTTACACGACGGGACGGCACACGCCAAATAGAACCCGTACAGAGGATTCCGCGGCCACCGCGTTTTCTGGCCGTCGAAACGCTGCAACGGTGCCACGATCGTGGAACATCGTCTTCGCGCGGCGATTGCTGCCAGGTGTTGGAAACCTTATCGACGCCAATTACGCGGTTCTCGCGGAAACGTGACAGATAACGCGGCATACCGCGGACTCGTGCGCCATCCAAGTTCTCGATACTATCCGGTAATCGTGCTCGCGGAGCCTAAATAGTCTCGCAGCGAATATTGTTTAGAAATTTTCAGAATCATATACGCATTTCACACTTTCAGAATTTCCATGTACCTAGTGCTTCGCAACTACAGTAATTTCTCCCTAATTCGCGCTCAGATTTCGCACAAAAATGCGAAAAGTTAAATTGTATGACATCGATTACGTTTTCGATATCCTTACGTTTCGCGGATCTCAATAAAACTGCGAATATGCAATCCATTAGCGTAACAATTAATTTTCAAACACGAATACAATGATTCCGGCGGTCATGCGTGGGTGACCTGGTAGTCAAAGTGTTAACAATTTGAATATGTTGACGACAGGACAGTAATTGCTTCCTGATACGCGAATAATCGTACCTCCTCTACCCAAATTGTCCGTTTTTGTGCGCAATCTGAGCGCGAATTAGGGAGAAATTATTGTATTATGATCCCGTGATGGTTCTGCGTGCAATTGTTGTGCAATATATAATTTTCGTGTAATTGTTGTACAATTTTTAATATTTTTGGGACACTAAAGGGTACAGAACTCGTATATTTACGTAAATTCTAAATTCCAAATTATTATGGTTTAGAACAAGATTATCCTTGTTTCAACTAGTAATATTTATTGAATTAACACCAAGCCTGCCGATAATTCATGGTTTACGATTTACGCGTAGAAAGGATGATGCACCCATGCAAATTATTATGGTTTAGAACAAGATTATCCTTATTTCAACTAATAATATTTATTGAATTAACACCAAGCCTGTCGATATTTCATGGTTTACGATTTACGTGTAGAAATAATGCATCGTTTAGCACAATTCCATTGAGAAATTTAGTACAATTTCATTGCAGAAATCCCGTCAGAAAGTTTAAACAGAGTGCTTGACCCGTCGTGATACAATTTAAAGTTCTGTATCTACGATAGACAATTCAAGGACTGGAGATATCGGGACGTATTTAGCGTTGAGGACGTTCGCACGCCAAAGTCCAACAAAAATCCAATGACCGTCGCTAATTTATTAAACGCGAAGTCCTTGAGCGGAAGTGCATATCTCTGGTTCGAAGGATTTTGGGCGAGGTCACGAACGACTCGAATACCCGAGTGTTAATCATTACGAAATGCAACAGATACGCCGGGATCCTCAACAATGTCTAGCTAGCAATCGAATCAGAAATAGTCCGGTCCGATTTGATCGATGCCACGGACGCGGCGAACTGAAATTCCGCTATCAATTTCCGCGGCGGAAATACCGGCAGCTTATCGATTTCCCATCGTCCATCTCGGCTACCTTGGATCCTTGGATGCATTCGAATCGTCTCTATCAGCTCCTAGGCGTTCCTGCACCTGTCCCACCGATCCCAAGGCTGGCTGGCTGGCTACTTTCACGGAGAGTCGAATAAAAAGCAGAAACACATCGGAATACCAGCAACGTTCTCTTTTGATCGGCTTAACGCTCGGATACATTGTTGGATAACCAGCCTTCGGGATCATTAATGGAATTAGCAAGACAACTTCCTCTGTACCGTTATACTCGTTGAAGTATTATCCGATCGGAGAAACCTTTCGCTGGAAGGGCGGATTAACATTGACTTCTAGGGCTACCGAAGGGCTGGGGGTCTAGGCTCTATCAAAGGCGGTTGCTCGGGGCCACCGTGATCTGTCTCGGTTGCAGAAGAGCAAAAAGAAACGAATCGCGTGTGAGGTGAAGCAAAAACGACGGTTCAGTTTGGAATGCAAAATACTAACAAGGGATGATCCCCAACCCGGAAATTCAGAAAATTCTGAAACTTTGGGGATGTGTAGAGCGTATATAGAACGTACGCGTTCCTTATAGATGGGTTATCTAGTTTATTTTATCGTATGATATTCTATTTGATTTTATCGTATTTTATCCTACGTTGTTCTAATTTACGTTACGTTGAGTACCTGATCTTA